GAGTTTGACCGTTAAAGTACTTTTCTATTTCAAACAAAAATGAAGGAGATAAAGCGATGCTATTGGCATGTAATTTGTTTATTACTCATGTTTGTTAAACTTGTACCGGTAAGAATAACACTTTTACTTTTACCTTTTACTGATACTGATTATATTTAAGAAACAAAGAAAAAAAACTGAATGTCAATATCCAAACTACATCAAATTTTTGGTCGATTGCAATAAACATTCCAGTGTGCGTGGGCGCGCACACATATGTAGATAACACTTGTACGTATAGTTTCCGCGCATACCATTCTTAAAACCCGCAAAAACAATCCACGCTCCGCCCACTCACTTCACCCGCGATGGTCTAACCTAATTGTTGTTAACTTTATTTAAATTTCTTTCTACCCGACAGCGAAAATTATAAAAAAAAATTGTCGAGCAAAATTTTACATTACCAAATTTTTCATTATGAAATATATAATTATTCTAGTTATGAAAAAATAACCCCGTGATTGATAAAATTATAAAAAAAGAAGCCTGAGATTCGAACCGGTAAACTTATTAAACATATTACGGCAAACATACTAGAATACTGCGCCAAACTAGTATATATTGTGACAAGGCAAAATTTGATATTAGTTATTACGTATCTGTCATATTCGGCGTGACAAACTTTTATAATATATTTAAGCGTTATGACAGGAGAAGAAAAATATTGGGTTGCCCAGTAAATTCGTGCCGCTTTATAAGGAAAATTGAAACCCTGTTCTCTTAAATTTTTTGAAATGTTTTTAAATTATATTGGTACGACTCTATACCTAAAACGTCTTTTATTGTTGGCTAAAATTTTAAAAATTAGTTTTTATCTCAACCAATGAAATGAAATTATTCACAACAGAAATTTTTGTGACGTTTGATAATGGTGGAAATCCGAAAATGAATCCACTTCAGCTACAGTCTATTTTAAGCTTCCTATCGAAAATCGGAACGAACTTTCCGGACAACCTATAATGTTAATACAAAGTGTCAAATGAATGTAACAGAAGTAGTTTATTCCAAATTGTTTCACAAGTATATAGAGATAGAGTTCAATTTTGTCAAATGTACCGATATTTTTGCGCACCTTGACTGCTTCGTTACTTATGACGCTGTGGCTGCTACGATATTTATGAGCATCTTGCATGTACTCATATATTTGACGCTGTGTATGTACCGATGTTTTTGAGCAGGGTGAATGTATCTATTATTTTGAGGACTTTTGTTGTACCGATATAATTGATTACTTTTGATGTACCTATATATTTGCATATCTTGTCTGTGACGATCTATATGACGCTGACTGTACATATGTCAACTAGTTATATTCTCTTTGATGTCAACTGTCAAATAAATTTTGTCAATAAAGATTTTTGGTGCCTATAAACAAAAGGTCTAAAACATAAATATTTTTAAGTAACACGTGAATTTAGGATTATTTATCAATGAAGAGAACTCGGAACGATGCTGTTAAAGCGGCTGTTTCTTCCTACTTAGAAAGACGAAATTATCCTGTAAGTATTTTGTCGATGCTATGTTGAAATAAAAATCATCTCCCTAATAATTATTTCATCGAAGTACTTATTGCAGGACATTGAAATATTTAATAATAACAATTCCACAAGTCGCAGTGCTGAGGAAATGGCAGTGGCTACTATTGTACAATGTGAATCAAGTCGAGCGAACTCCATCCTCTTTTCATGCATCAATAATGATTCCGCTCAATACGATGTACAATATACAAAGTAAGATACTAGTTTACTTTTCTCTATTATAATGTAACCAAGTTAAAATTGTTACCTCCTATAACAACTTATGTTTTTCCCATCTTTAAAATTTAAATAAGTCATATAAGCTTATTTATATTTTATAATTTCAGACTGTTTAATTATATTAAAGAAATAAAAATAGAGACAGTAAAAAATGAATTGCTAAGTTTACTAGCACCATTATTATGTCATCTTTATTTGGAAATGCTCCGTGGAGGGCATGGTGGAGCTGCACAAATGTTTCTCAAGAGACACATAGCAACATTACCACAAAAAGATCTATCATATCATCAACCTATTGATGGAAATTTGCCATCAGCATTGTACAGACCAAATAGCTTAGAACAACTGTTTAACTCTTTACAAAATGGTACAATTGACAATGAGACTCCAGAAAAGGACTACATGAATCAATTGCTAGATGATATCGGCACAATATATACATTACAGGAAATAGAATCAAGACCCACTATAGCAGCTTTCAGGTGAAGAACATTATTATTAAAAAAAATCACTAACAACCAGTATCCAAGAAACAAATGTAAAGTCACTAGAAGGATGACAAGTGGACAACTTAAAAAATAAAAACAAGTGACTCTTAACATTTTTATTTAAAAGTACATATTTACTATGGACTGTTTACATTTTTTATTTTCATATCTGTTTTATAGGTCTTGTAAATATGATATATATCTATCACAAGATTCTCTAAATATGTTGAAGTCATACTTAGCAAAACATGGTCATGTTTTGCTAATACAAGTTTTACAAACCTGGTTCCATATTGATATGAATAATGATTCAAATAAAAAAAATTCTGTAAGTATCTTGTCTTTTAGTGCAAAAAAATATAATATGTATTATATTACTCAATGACTAACATTCCTACTTTATTCCTACTTAACATTTTGCAGGAAGATGATGAATCTCAAAATGAAGATGGCAATTCACATATAGTAAATAATGATGAAAAACCAATGGATAAAAATGGTATATGACATACATTGTGTATTATATAATTTTATAATTTTAATTTTTAATCTTGTATTATTTTTAGACATATTTTCAAAGTGCAATGGCCATGCGGAAAGTCAGAATGTGGATAAAGAACTCAAAGAACTGCAGGATGCAATAAAAGGAGTTCGGGAATCTATGGCACCTCTTAAGTTGTATAAAATAGCTGCGCCTGATACATAGTTAGTAACATTTTTCATTGTCATACACTCAAATATTATATATTAACAAGATATAGTAATATAAAGAAATAAGAAACATGTAAAAGAAAGATGTAATTTGAATAACAATCATGAAGAGAAAATGACTTTGACGTAGAAATTTAATAACTCTTTACAATCTCTTTACAAGAATAACAAAGATAGGAAAATGTATCTGTTTCACATTACACTGTTACAGTTGTCTATAGATACCAAAGTTACCTGCTTGCTCATTTCTGCCTTCTTGATAAACAAAAAATCATTAATAACCTTTATATGTGTTATTTCTGTAAGATCCCCATTGTTGCAGCTTAGTGTGCGCTAAGACAGATACTAGTTGCAACCTGTTGTGCGGTGGGTTCAGCAACTCGGAGATTAGGTTGTGGGAGCTAGGGCAGAACAATGCAAAGCGACGGATCAACCGCAATATATCAGAAATAGAGCTTGCCTGCCATGTGCCACCTGAACCCGAAGCGCCTGATGATAGCACCTTGTAAATATATGTAGTTCTTTTATTTAAATGAAAAATAAACTTAAGCCTATTTCACAATGAAATTCTCTTTCAGCCAAATAGGCACAGGGTTGCCACTGCGCGGACACTCTGGCCCAGTGCAAGCGGTCAGTATTTTAGCGAGAGAACAACTTGTTTTGTCCGCATCATATGACAATACTATGAGAGCCTGGAGACTTTCGGACTACTCGTGCGCTTCTATTTATAGGTATCTTGCTTTTATATACTAGTTTATTTTACAATATGTACAGTTTTTAAAGCTTTTTTTATTTCAGAGGTCACAATTACCCGATCTGGTGTATGGACGTATCGAAAAACGGTCTTTTTATTGTGACCGGTTCGAATGATAAAACAGCAAAATTATGGTCTCTCGATAGAACGTTCCCGGTCCGCGTATTCGTCGGACACATGTCAGATGTCACGGTCAGTTACAATTATATAAAAGTAGTGAATGTAATGATTCTTTAAGAACAGTTCTTTTGCTTTCGGCGACATTGATATCAACAAACAATAGACAATTTAAAAATCCTGATTTACAGTTTCCATGAGAAGGATACATTATGATTTAAACCTCGCTCTTCTACATAAGCCGATATCTACAGAGCAAAAAATTATGCTTACTGTTTGTCATTGTCCGACTTCGAAAGGACCAAGTTCTTTACTAGGCCTTCAGTTATAATATGATATATTATTGTCAGTGCGTGAAGTTCCATCCCAACGAGGCGTACATGGCGAGCGGCGGCGCGGACCGCAGCGTGCGTCTGTGGACAGTATGCGACGCGCGGCTTGTGCGCGTGCTGTGCGGACACCGCGCAGCCGTGCGAGCTCTCGCCTTCGCGCCAGCCGGCACACATCTTGCCAGCGCAGGTGACCAACTCTTCATAAACTAAATGTCTTAATCAACCTAAAATAGCTTTTGAGACTCCATCAATGACCATACTACCTCAAAGTGCGCATTCACACTGGCCTTGACAAAGGAGGCCATAAACCTGCTAGTAGTTTGAAAGTCATTGCTAGCATTTTGGAATAAAGCACAGTTTTCAGTTAGAAGTCATATGATTTTTTTTCTCTAGGTGATGATAAAAAGATTAAAGTATGGGATCTAGCAGCTTGCACATGTGTACACGAACATAGGGGACACCATGGTAAAATAACAGCATTGGACTGGTCGGCGGTGGGCAAAGCAAGTCTCACCAATAGAATTACGTTAGACCCCAACAATACTTCCGATGATAATTCTCTTTTATGCTCAGCTGGTATGGATGGAGTTGTAAAGATTGCTTGGGACAGCCATTCCAAAAACAAGTAAGATGTTTTTCAACATTTTATCATTATCTCATATTGGAAATGCGAATAGAGAAATTTGCAATGTGAAAAAAACTTAAAACATTGATTAACATTTTTATTATAAAAAAAAAGTTCAAATTAAACTTCTTTCTGATACACAAATAACTACTTGATTAACAACCAATTATAAGGCAAACATCATGAAAGATATACCTTAAAAAACAAAAAACTTAATCCTATATGTTTATTTCCTTTAATTTTTTGTTAGATCATCATCATCATCATCATCATCAGCTCACTGCATGTCCCCACCGAGGGGCTCGGAGCCCCCGTTGTTAGATGATGACAGTTAATTAGACCCTTTGTACACAACACAACGTAATTTTTTGAAACCGCGATTTTAGTTGCTATATGACTTATGCTGTACGATGTCATAGAGCTACATACATAAACACGTGTCGCCTGTGACTCCGTCCGCGCGGAAAAAAAGAAAAACTTAATTCATAGCCTGTGTTATATGCCAAATTTCACAGAGATCCATGCAATCCTTCTGGAGATATCTTCTAACAAACACCCAATATATGTCCAAACATTCACATTTAGTGTTTGGAAAATATTGGTGTAATAGTATTCATTGATGATCTATTTGATTTTTTATGACTGTATTATGATATAAGATCAATAGTTAATATGTTTTTGTTCCAGGCAAGTATCTAGTCCAGAATTGCTGACTACTACCTACAATACAAAGTGCTCCTATTTAGTAGATGTACAAGTCCACCCAGAGTGGCTTGTTGCCATTGGAACCAATAGATAAAGAAAAATAGTGTATGCATTATTAATAAAATTATAGAATTATTTCATTGTTGTTTTCTTTCCAGTAATAATTTCAATAACAATTTAGCACAGTGAATTTTTAAATATAACTAACATGATTTGTAACCAATTGAGAATTTTATAAAATAAATTAATTGACTGATTTCTTAAAAAAGTTCATCAGTGTTTGTTGTTTTCCTGATTTAGGTGGTGAGATCTTTTTCTTGGTAAGTTTTACTTCATTTTTCTTCTCTTTTGGTGAAGTTTCTACTTTAATCTTCTGAACACATTTAATTGCAACATTTTCTTTGCTTTTTTCTTCATCATTGTCTGAACAACTTTCATATACTTCTTCCTTTTTTGTTAATATGTATCCATCTTCACTTGTGTAGGTTTTGTCAACTATCTTTCTTTTCTTTTTAGGATTGACAATACCTGAGGTGATTTTAACTGTATTGATAGTTGGTGTGGGTGGTATTTCATCTTCAGACTCATTCTGTACCTCTGTTTGTTCTTCATTGACAAAGGGATCATTGTCATTATTTTCAGTCTCACTCTCACTATCAGATTGTACAACAATTCTCTTCCTTTTTTTGTCAACTTTCATATTTTTCTTTGTACCAGGTGATATTTTCTCTTTACTAGAATTATCTTTTTTATTGTGTTTGTTAGTTTTCTTATTACTTTCAATACCATTTTGTCCTTGATTATCTTTTGAATCTGTTTGTGCATCAGACATTTCAATATCTTCAGATGTGTTTTCTTGTTTTATTTCTATTTTTGGCTGATCTTTGAAAATGTTTAATTCTTTTTTCTTCTCCTCCGTCACATTTTTATTGCTAGAGTCCCCATTCAACTTGCTAAAGAATCCTGTAATACCCTTCTGCTTTATATTCATACTGTTTACTTTTTGCTTGTTTGCTGTACTCTTCTTTGGTGAACAATTTTCACTTTTAATATTATTATCTAACTTTGTTTCAGCTGGCCTAGCCAAACCTTTTTTGTTCTCCAGTTCCTTTGATGGTTTTTCAACATCATTTTCCTTTTTAATTTTCTTTTGTGTAGTATTTGTAGTTTTTTCATCATTTAGCAAAATATCTTGACTGTTAGACTTGAGAGTTCCAATTTCATCTACTGTCCGCTTCATACAATTATTATTTTTTATCATACCAGTACATAAAATTAAATCCTCTAATTTATTTATGGCTAACAAGGACGCATTATCAAGACTTGAACATCCTTTGGTAACGCTGTATATGTGTTCGTAAAAAATTGTGTTGAAGTCTTTCTTAAACGCCTCTAGATCAGCTTCAGTGCAAACTGCTGTTCTAGCAGAATTCTTACTATTTAAACCAGAAACGATATAACTAACTGTAAGATCAACATTAGGTTTCTTCTGGCGTACATTATTAACAAACTGCTGCAACAATACTTTGCTCTCATTAACGTGAATACAAAGCTCTTTGCTGAGAGAAACATACGTTACTAGTTTTTCTTCGTCTAGTATCATATCATGTAACGTATTTAGATTTGCCATTATATTTTCTCCTACAATTGCATATTCTTAAAAACAACGTATTTTAAAAACAGGCTTTTGCAAATTTTAGCGCCCTAATAAATGACACTGACAAGTATTTGACAATGACAGAAATATAGATTATAACCAGAGTCGCTGTTAAGAAACTCCAAACTCTACGGTCTATGACGAACGGAGCTGTTTAATCTTTGTTATGACATTTCTTGGAAATAAAGTTTGACTTCACTGGGAACTTTGCTACTTTGCTTTAACTTGTTTTAACTTTTACATTTTATTCATATCTAAGACAATACTTGATTGTAGAAATAAGGGTTTTAATTAATCAATCAAGTGTAACGCTGACAAAAATTCGATTTGGCGAATACCTCTTCTGTAAGTATAAATTACAAACATCTATTTTGGTACATTACATCATTCGAACCTATAAAATAAATATTTTGAATGTATTGGTTTATTAATTTATTTCATCAGGGTTCAGGAAGTAATAATTTAGTTGCCGGAGAAGTTACAGAGCATCGTTTGAATATATTTTTATTGCATTAGAGGCAAACATGCCAGGGTAAGCAACTCTCGAATATTGGGAGTGGTCCACAAAAATGGATACCTAAAACCCACTGCCTTATGTTCACAAATCACGTAATAAATACATGATTAATTTCATAATTCATTTAACTACTACTCTAATAATGTTATTTTATACTTGAACTATCTTTTGAGTACATAACTACCCTCAAAGTTAATTAAAATGTGCCAAAAAAAAGTTGATTTGTAAGAAATCTTAGAAATGGTGTATTACTATAATTTTACAAAATTAAATATCAAAATTTTTTTTTCAAGGAACTAGGCCAATTTGCTTGGTGGTAAAATGAATCACATCTACATTTTTGTAAATGATGTAATTCAAGGATAAATACTGAGTAAACTGTACTTATGAGGATAATCAATCTTTTATTATTAGTAAAATACAGATGCAGTTATAACAATAAAGAGTTTTAGAGTTAATAGTCAAAATAGTTCCCAACAACTTTCTTATTTATTACATAAATAATCAACATGTGACAAAGCAAATAACTAAATTAATAAATAATTGTAATAACTACTGTTGTAATACCGGGAAGTATATAATTTATACTTTTACTTTTTTTTATTTGTTTTAGTTGTTGCTTAAATCTATGATATTAAATAAAATAGTTCATGTATATTGCATGTATTCATATAAAATTTGTTGTGTGTTGAAAATAGTGCCCACAATTAGCTAGTTATTAACATAAATATTAAATAAGGTTTTACTGTAAGTAATTTTTATTCTTACACATTCAAAACTCTTATAGTTAATTCAACAACTCTTTGCTCTCTGCAATTTGCTTACACCCCACTCACAAACTCATATATATTCAGCACATAGGCACAAAATAATATATTTATTGTAAAATAAAAATAACTATTAAAAGAATAAGATTTTTTAGGATTTTTTCGCAAATAAATCTTTTTGTGTACACAAACACATTTTAATTTAAAATCATCATATGCAAGTCTAGTACAAAATATGTTTATAATAAATTGTTGATTAATACTTTTTATATGTCCCTTCTAGCATTGCCACCATGTCTTTAGACAACATGTTTTGCACCCGTTGTGGTGATGGCTTTGAGCCCAATGAAAAGATTGTCAATTCAAACGGAGAGCTTTGGCATACTAACTGCTTTGTGTAAGTATCTGAGAAACAAGTAGAAATATTGTTTTTTTGACAATTTTTCTCTAATGAAATGTTTTCACAGATGTGCCCAATGCTTTCGTGTATTTCCCGAGGGTGTATTTTACGAATTCGAAGGACGTAAATATTGCGAACGAGATTTCCAAGTGCTCTTCGCCCCTTGTTGTGGTAAATGTGGTATGTATTAATATAATTATATACTTAAACTAACTTTCTTTATTTATACATTCAACATGAGTCTGCATGACTATTATATTTGTACAGGCGAGTTTGTGATTGGCCGCGTGATAAAAGCGATGAACGCGAACTGGCATCCGGCATGCTTCCGGTGCGAGGAGTGCAGCGCGGAGCTTGCAGACGCCGGCTTCATCAAGCATGCCGGCCGCGCTCTTTGCCACACCTGTAATGCACGCCTCAAGGCGGACGGCTTGCAGAACTACATGTGCCACAAGTGCCAGTGAGTACCATCAAAACTGATTCAATCTTGCCACAATTAGATCAAGCCATCCCTAAGTAAGACAGTAGACACCACCAACAACATCTGTTGCACAACTGGGCTGGCTGACCCGAAGCAATACCACAACCACACAGAAGATAGGCGTGAAGTGGAAGCATTTCTGCATTTTGTCTGATGAGTGTTTGTTCCAGAAGCATAATGTTAGTTGTCTTTCTTGGAAGTGGATTTGATGGAGGGGATGACAAATAATTAGGGGTTTCCTCCTCCATTTATTAAAAGCATGTAACACATCTGCAATTGTTGAAGTGTATGGGCAGCGGTCGCTTCGCCATTAAGGCGACTTCAGGTAGCTGTTTGGTTGTTTGACACCTTATAATATAAAAAAGTTCTTTTAGTACAATATGATATTGAAACGCACATTGTTGTACAGTGGGGTAATCGATGGCGAGCCGTTGCGGTACCGTGGCGAAGTGTACCACGGCTACCACTTCACTTGTGCTACATGCGGCGTCGAGCTGGACCACACGGCTCGCGAGGTGAAGCATCGCCCGGGCTACGCTGCTAACGATGTGGTCAGTACCAAACACTTCTGTTTGCAACATACTACTTGGCCCCTGGGACTCCCGCTCCGAGGATTTAAAAAAAAAACTTAATTATTCCCCATTGCATTCTTCTAGATAACGTTTTACATCTATATCAAATTTCCCCTTTCGCATTTCTAATATAAATATTAGAGAGATTAAATGTTTTTGGACGACGACACACATCAGTAGCATAGCTATTTCATGTGACCATTGTCATTGAGGATTTGAGCCTGCAGAAATGGAAGGTGTACATGTTTATTTACTCTTTTTAAACAATATTTAACAATTACAGAACAACTTATTCTGCCTGCGTTGCCACGACAAAATGGGTATCCCCATTTGCGGTGCTTGCCGTCGCCCAATCGAGGAGAGGATTGTCACCGCTCTCGGCAAGCATTGGCATGTTGAGGTAATTCTTTGACATAAAACGCAAATACTCCTTAATCCTACTGTCATCATTCGGCACACAGGTTTATGTTCTACAAATTACTCCCTTCTTAATCTTCTTAAACAAAGCATCCATTCTAGACTTACTTCTACTGATGTACTCCTCCATACTACATCTTGAAACAATATGCTTCATACAATTTTCAGCATTTTGTGTGTGCCAAATGTGAGAAACCATTCCACGGGCACCGGCACTACGAGAAGAAAGGTCTGGCGTACTGCGAGCAGCACTACCATCAGCTGTTTGGCAACTTGTGCTATGTCTGCAACCAGGTCATTGCAGGCGATGGTGAGATACCACTTGTTCAACAGATTGGCTGAAATCTAAATGTACAGTTTCAGATGGTATTCCATCTCAAATAACAATAGCAATCAATTTCTAAGAATAAGATATATTGTGTACTAGTTGTCACCTGCGACTCCATCCGTGCGGGATTAAAAAAAAATAATTCATAAGCCCATGTTTTTCCAGACTATGTTCTACGTATTTTAAATTCTAAAATTTATCCCTTCATCCATCTTTCAGATTTAAAATATTAGATTGAGTGAACTCCAAGTAATTTATATTTTTATTTGATGTAATATTGAGACATGTTTATTTAAACCAATGCTAAAAGCATAGATTTATAAAAGGCTGTATTTTAATTTTCATATATTATATCTATTATTGTTAGTTATTTGCTGTAAATTTGTGTGTTCAGTATTCACAGCGCTGAACAAGGCGTGGTGCGTGCATCACTTTGCGTGCGCGGTTTGTGATGCGGCGCTGAGCACGCGCAGCAAGTTCTACGAGTACGACGAGCGGCCCGCCTGCCGCCGCTGCTACGAGCGCTTCCCGCAGGAGCTGCGCCGCAGACTGCGCCGCGCGCATCACTACACGCACCGCAGGAACTGACCGCCGGTACATCACACGTCACATATCTTAGCGGCTTAACTACGTACAAGTATGAAGAACACAATTTTAGGTATAGCAGGACGGGTGACCTTGAGCTACCAAGATATTTGAAAAGAACCATACCACTGCATACCTCGGCCGCTGATGCGCTACACGAGTACGCTACTTTGTGTGCATGTTGCAAGTATATTGTAATGTAGAAAAAAATGGCCTTTTGATCAGTATGGATGTCAGCATGATCAAGAGTGACTGTAGCGCTAGCTCAATATATGAAATAACAAAAAATTACTTTTTTCTAGCTGTTGATGGCTTTCGGTTTTGGATTTTTTTTTAATTCCAGCTCTGCCAATAAGGAATACATTTAATTTTTTTTTTATCTTAAGAAGTGACGTATAAAAACTTTGACAGTAGACAGGCCACTTCTTAGGTTAGCGCCACCTACTTTTTCTCCCCATTCAAAGACTAACTGCAAGTGAGCGATGGTAGACCAGTATTTTTAAACCTTATTTTTTTTACAAATAAATACCCTAATAATTTGTTTTTAATTTTTTACAGATAAAATGGCTCGAAGTATATGGTGAACAAATGGCCTGCTATGAAAATTATTTTTTTTTTCTTTTATTAAAAAATTTAGACATTAACATTATTAATCTGAAATATAATTTAATTAAACTAATTTACTCATCGTTGGTTTATCACATCAAAATCCCTTTATAAAACAACTATCTCTTTTTGTTAAAAGTTTAATCATTAGGATGACAACGTGTCTTGTACAGGGATTTTGATCTCAGAAACCAACGTTAAGTATCTGACAAATATTTAAGGGGATCAACTGATATTTCAATGAACATTTATAGTGTTCTGTTAATGAATAAGAGAGATGCCCACAGACGCGGACAATTGTAACGACGACGCGGTACATTAGTGTAGTTTTACAATAAACTATTTTTACCCGATGCGAAATGACATGTTTCAGGCTAAAAATAAAATATTCTTTTCGTGGCTATATTTCAACAAAATCTCTGTATAAAATATATGGTTGTGTAATGTCTTTAGAAAAATGAGATAAAAATATGTTTTAAATGGAGATTTAGGTATCAGAAACCCACAGTTATTTAACTTAAATGTTTTTTGTAAAGGCCTCTAAATACAGTTATTGTATAATGCTTTTGTTCTTACTGTTAAGGCTTTAATCTAGATTAATTTATCCTAGAAAACGAATAACTCTTATGACATTATATACAATATATTAATGTATTTCTAATAATGATTATAAAATATTAATATTGTACACACATATATTTGTTGTACGAAAATGTGCCTTTACGTATACTTTTAAAAACTATGGAAATAATTTATAAGTTTATAGAATCTGTCTTGTAGTTACTAATGGCCGGTTTCATCAAAAATGCTAAATTAAAAAAAAAAGACAATGACTGTGCCGTATTAATACAATTTAAAACTTTAGTAATCAAGCAAAATTTAAGTAATATAGTTTTCAATCATCTAGACAGCTCGGAACTTCGCCAGTCACTGCGCAAACACATGTGTAACGGTGCGTAAATGTATGCATATATGACCCTGAGCCGCCAAAATATTTGAAACGGCCTATACTTGAGCATATCATTTGAACTAAAATGTTGATGAAAACGGTTATGAGTAAAGCAAAAGAATTGTGAGCATTTAAAGGATTGAATATTACTAGCTAATAATGTTAAATGCGTAATCAATTTATATTAATGTTGCTTAAATAAAAAATAACACATTTTTATCTATTGTTTTATTTTCAACGTTAACCTATTTAACATTGCATTTAAAGAATTGGATCTGCTAAGTATATAACATTTTATATATTATCGTATATTAAATAATATTTAAATAGGTCAAACATAATACTAAATCTTCATGTATTGAAATGAAATTAAAAACCAGAATGCAACCATCTCACTTCAACAAATTACATATCACACAGTAAAATAAACATAATTTACACTTATATACATAAAATGTGTCGCTAATTTAATTTATACTCTGAAAATGGGAATAAATACCCATAAATTGTATTTACGTAACGAAGCAACACTACTATACCGACTACAAGTCTCGCTAATGCCAGTTTCACACGAGTGCAGAGCAGTAAAAGATGCAGTACTGTTATTGTTTTTTTTGGAACGCGCACTTACTGCAAACCAGTTTTGCGAGTTAAATTAGCAGTACTAACCCAACTGCAGTGCCCTGTGTGTAAAGGCTTCAGAAACAGTAATGCGGTTTAATTATCTTTCTTCATCCTGGTGCTGGTCATGCGGTAGATAATGGAGTCCCTACCGGGATCCATGTCCATGATGGCGTACACGATGGCGACCAGGGTGAACACAAACACCACGCCGAACCACAGCAAGATGTTGAAGATGGCCGCATAGTCAGCAGAGTAACTGGTGGACTACACAAAAGGACATTGCATTAGCTAATTATATCTTCGAAGGGAAGGAAAGGAACATAGCCTTTTTGTGTACATCCTCTCCTCTTTTCAATTAATCATAATCGCTATTCTAATTATAATTATGTCAATAGCCGTTTAAAAAAAAGTAAACTGCACAAAAACTTAAATCATGTTAACTGCAAACTTAAATATTTAACTGTCATGTAACATATTGAGGCGCTTTTAAATCGGAAAGAAGCAAAAGATGCATGAGTGGTATACATACAGGGTTGGCGCTGGGGGAGGGCGTGCCCGCGCCGGACGGCGTCATTGGCGTGTCAGGCCCGGGTGTGGCCGGTGAGGACGCCTGACGGGGCAGGCGGGCGGAGCGGACAGCGCGACGTGTGTGCGCCACGTCCGTGCACACCGCAGTCACCAGCACTGCGCCGTCGTACGCCTTCGTGAACGCCTTGCTCAGCTCGGTCAGCGCTTCGCCTGTGCATCATCATGTGTCAAGTGTTATACATACCACTTTCTGTGCAGCATATACTCTTGACATATAAAAATTACAAAAAAAATACCCTTCCACAATTATAATCAAGATTCTCTTTCTCACATATGCATAACATGCCTATACTATGCTAACTTTTTGTTTCTTAATTTATTTACAACTTTAATCAATTTTTAATTTGTCTACTACATTCAAATTTCCTTTAATACACTAATTTCTTATCAGAAATTTATTATTTCTTCATCATCAAATTATGAGATAAAATGTATCTAAAACAATTTTAAACATTTAAAATGAGAAAAATTTATTAAAAATTGTCCCTATCTTTATCATTATTTTTTATCTTTTGGATAATACTGATGGTTGACTACTAAACTTACCTAAAAGTTTCTTTGCCTCCTTAGCCTGCAATGAGTTGGGACCGTGGAGATCGGACAAGGCATGCAGTGAGCGGAATCTGAAGTTGTAGAAATCAATTATGTTGTCTGGGCTGATTGCTCCTGCGTTGATCTGTAAAAAATTTCATGTCATACAAATTTTTTACACAAGGCTCTAGCAACTCACATAATATTAACCAATTATTAGCTAGAGATATAAATTGATTGACTATTGACACTATGGTTTGGTATATTTATTAGCACGAAACACAAATCAATAAGGTGTGAATTGACTCAAGGACATTTTAACAAAACTTACCTTGCTAATGAAAAGTTTCAAAGCCTCCAATTCAGCCAAAAATTGATAGTCTTCCTCAACATCATTTTTCAAATGTTGTAATGTTTGCTTCGGGACCTTTGGTGGTGCCAATTCACCGAACACACCAAAGAAAGACTGGAACTGAATAAACAATAAATTATAATGTAATTTCATTATTTATTTATTTGGTATGATTTAAAAAATTTCTTAATGTCTTTTTAGTGTCAAAAGTTTTTAAGACTTTTCAAATACCTATGTTAAAATCTTTTTATTAGAAATATAGCTGTATGTTAGGTCTACTTTTCTTATAGTTTTGATTAAAGTAAGACATATTACCTCTCCAGGGTTAGACAGCTGGATATTTGTAAGGGTATTACCACCATTACTGAATCGTTGCTCAATTCTGTGCTTGATGACTTTGAATGTGTCTGGCTCATACTCATCTACCACTAGTGGATAGTTTCTCGCTTTCGCTTCGACCTACAAAAACAAAATGTTAAATACAATGAGTACCACCATCTCGACTAACTACTTCCACTACCATATGTAAAATCTGTGGTGACTTTGAGATATACTTACAATACTACCAAGGCTAGATACACCTTCGACATAAACTTCCACAATCGCTTCTGGGGTGTTGAAGGGATCTACTATTGATAATCCATTCCATGCAGAGTTCTGAAAAGCAACATTTATAAATGTCATAATTAGTAGTAAAATTAATGTCTATCAAGCAAAATGCTATACAAGAGTAATAAATTAAGCCGTCAATATACAGAAAACTACGGATACCTGATCAACGGATAGACCAAAAGAAGCCGAGAATATTTCTTTAAGTAAGCTTTCCTCGACTTCGGACGTACCCGTGAATTTTAAGGACTCAGGGCTATGGAGGATACTAAACTCTCCAGCGCCATTTGCACCTGAGGAACACACATTCGATTAGCTCATTCAAAAATACGATGCAGCATATTTAAAATTTATTATACTTACCTAGGATTGATAAAACAAGAGTTAGATAAAATAGAGCCATTGTAACACCCATATTTCTTGAATGCAGACGAATGACTGTCATATGATTAAAGTCTTACCACTAAGAATATTTAAAATAACCAATCATATTTTTCATTGGCAACTCCGCAAACATGGAAATTTTTTACGAAAAATCAATAATGTACTTTTTTTATTAAATAATTATATAGGTCATTAATTAGCAGTTATAAAATTCGTTGCACCAGTTGCACCAGTTGAACAAATTAGTAGACCTCTACAAAAAAGTGGCAACATTTATTTTTTTATCCAAGCAAATGTGTGAATCGGAATCGTTCGGCAAATCAAGTTGAAGAAGTCTAGAATTTACCGAAACGTGAATTCATATATTTGAATCAGTTTTAATATTTCATTCGTATTAATAATAAAATAACTACGGTAGAACAATCATGACAAACGAAACTGCCTGCCCTCCGCCAGTTTTGTGGGCACAGAACAAAGAAGATGTTTTCCTCACATTTAACGTTGAGGCTAAAGATCCGGACATTAAAATAGAGAAAAGCTCAGTTTATTTTAATGGTATTAATGTACGAGACAATAAAACATATGAAGTCACAATACCTTTACACGATGCTGTAATACCCGAACAGAGCAACTTTGTGAATAAAGGTAGGTGCATAGAAATGGTGCTTCGCAAAGAAAATGTGACTGGTCGTTTTTGGTCATCACTTACGAATGATAAGAAAAAACCACATTATTTGAAAATAGACTTTAACAAGTGGTGTGACGAGGATGACGAAGAAGTCGAGGATACGGGAGCTTTAAATCTCAATGAAATGTTGGAGGCAATGGGCGGCGACAGAGGTGCCGGTGATAAGAAACCATCTTTTGATGATTTGGAAAGTGACTCCGATGACGACAATTTGCCGGATCTAGAGTGAAGTAATTTGTAGCCCCAGTGCCTTAAAATGCAGTTCTGTTTGTATGTTAAGGATTACACAGTTTTTAAGTACCTAATTTTTTTCACATTACCAGGTGTAATAGTTGAACAGCACATGTGTTTTGATTCGTTAAATTTATGATTTTGTAATAAAAACATTTATATGATCGAATTATGTTCTTGAAATTTATTTGTGCATCATTTTTAATTATTAATAATTGAACTAACAAATGTTTTGTTTTCTGTTTCATCCAAATTGAAATAATTTTTTCCCCTATACTGTTTTTTAATTGGTAAACTGTTTGAATAGTAAAAAGAATTGTTGTGCCACAATTTTTTTTCCAGACATGTATCAATGAATTTGAAATATTGCATCATTAAATTTTAAGTAAAATGATGTGATGAAAATTTAGTTCACAAACTCTTAAATAAAACTATATAAGAACATAAGCATGAATAAATTGTTGGCCTATACATAATGTACTCTGACGTTTCTTGAGAATAAAAGTAAATGTAAAAGTATATTTGTGTTTGAATTATTTTAAGTCTCTGTAAATTGTAGAAATACAAATTTTTTTAGCTTGATAAATATTAAAGGGGCTGACTATGAGCAGTCACAACTTAGGAAAATTGGGCCAACAAATTAGATATACTAGTCACATCTTCATCAGTTCATAAACATCATTAAGGGACATTGCCCTGCCCCAAATTATAGTGACAATCACATTCAACACTGATCTTTAGAGATATGGACAGGTCGCTGCTTGGAAAATGGCACGATAATGTTAATGACAGTTACAGTAGAATGCCGATTATCAGAATTTTAAAAGCCCGTACATGAACAGCTGTTTCAAAATGGGGGCTTACTATTGGTATAATATTATTTTGCAAATTATATATATAATAAAGTTGTTAAAAATGTACACAACACAAATACTTTATTTGCCTTCAGTTGCTTTAACAGCTAAATTATACAAATGGAACTGCTGACTGTGTCTTCTTAAATTCAATGTAACAGCAATACAGTAAATTAGTCTGTTGAGACTTTCACATTTAAGAATGTACGAAGCCCCTTGTCCCGGCGAAAATATTGGAGCTCCATAACTTTGGCAATCGAACATAAAATATGAAGGTCCTATTCTTCCAAATGTTAAATTTTTTGTAGGGCTGACCAATATGCCAAGTCGGTTATTTTCGAAAAAGTATTCCAAAGCTTTACTCAAATTAAATCTATCCGGATATGTATTGTAGACGAATCCAAATATGACTTTAGTAAAGGTAACAGAAAACGAGTACGGATACAAGTCATTAAACGTGGTATCCAAATCTTCGACAGTTATTTCGTGATTGACATTACCTCCCACTTTTTCGTGTGTTTTGCCGTGATATTTGTCACCGCCGGACACTATACCATCCAACAGACTGCTGGTCCAGGCGCTCAAGTCGCACACCTCCGTCATGAAGGCGGCCACACAACAAGTGGCCAAGTACTGCTTGCCGCGGTGCTCGTCATCGAATCGCGGATCTAAAGGATGTATATTACCCCAAAGTGAATAAAGATCACCGGGAAATTCGATATCCCAATCCTTCCACATCGATTTTGGAATGCCTCTTTTAATTCCTGCATCGTTAAACGGATTCATTCGCGACCACGGTATCATCTCAATATTTAGCCAATACATTTTCTCGTCGACCAAAGGCCGAGGTTTCCTACGCTTTAAATATGGCAAATTGGGATTTTGGTCGGGCTTGAAAAGTGGACTGAGACGATAGTTAAGAGCTGAATGTTTCGGTGCTGATTTTACCGATGTCAATTCGAAAGTATAGAATTCTGGCTGATCTGCTTTTCCGACGGTACCTCGTATCCTTTTAATAACGGCATCTATAGAACGGTACAGTGTCCATGTCGCCACGGATCCTGCAGATTTCACTGGAGTTTTTAGTTCTTTAGTTTCAGTTTTAACTTCCGGCTCTTCGTTGGGCGGCGGGGGATTTGGGTCGAAAAGGTGATAGTATCCATCCATACGACACAGAACCATACTGCAACTGGGGAATCTGATTATAACAAAACGTAGTCTTCTTAAAACCGCATTCAAATATTGTTCTAAAGTTTTTTGTGGATTTTCATTTATTACAAGAATTTTCTTAATGTTGACATCTATTAATTTTCCCTCCAGTATAATGTTCTTGATTACTCTCTTTTCGCAGACATTTAAATTGGTCGCCTTGTCAAATATTTCCAGGCCTTTTTCGATACACGTATCGACCATGAAATGATCCCATGTTCTTATCGGATGCATGGCGGCCATTAGCATTGCAATTAAACTGACGAAATGGGAAGCCGTCACTTCTGAACTTGCTCCTCTGTCGTTGAGAGAGGTAGTTCCTTCGATTCTGTACAGACCTTGAATATGTTGGTAACCGATGACAGTTTCGCTTTTCGGTTCAGTATAGTCGACGGAAGTCTTCTTGTCTTTGCCCTTGTCAGCACCGACTAACGTCTGTTTGGATTTACTCGATGCGGGCGCACCAGTTGTATAGTCGTAGTCTTCCGGTAGTTTCATCCTTGGCTCTTTCAAAAGTTTTCTCACTAAGATTCTACTCAGGACAAATTGTTGGTCATCGCCGGCCCCGTCTTTGTTATAAAGTATTCTAAAAAATAAACAAAAAATCTATGAGCATGTTCTAAAATAAAAAGCGCCAGGGTCGGTAACCGAATTGACAGATTAGCCAAATGTGGTGATGGAAAAATAATATGTTAGTTGCGTTTGATGAAATGCACAAAACCACAACACTGCAATGTGGAGAAAAACTGCCTTTTGTTAGAGTTGTTAGTATAATCATTAGTGACTGTAGCGCTAAATACATACAAAAAAGACATTATACACAAAGTACTTTCAGTAAACAACTTCCGTCAAATTTCATTAAAAAAAATCAAAAATAAGTAATTATTAATGATTCTCACTACAAAAAACGGGTTCTTCCAGCAGTAAGTGCATTCAAAATTCCCTATTCCCTAATTCCTAAAATTACTTATAAAAACTTTGACAGATGTCAGCGGACTCTTGGCGTTGGCGCCAACTATGGACAGCTTTTAATTTTTCTCCCCATTGCATTTACTTCTAGATTCGAGTAGTATACGTTATCATCACATATACATCGTTAATATTGTTATATAAACATAATATGTTTACCTGACAACGAGGTCGTGCAATGATTTAAACCGCAAGAAGCAAGCATTATTTCCCTTGCTCTTCTCATCCCTTATACCCATTGGTGTGCAGGCACCGCCGTCGAACAGATAATATATACCATTCTTCCTGAAGAATGCAGCACTGTACGAAGTAGTTGTTATCATTCCCCTGTCATATTTGTTGAGAAACTTTTTATTTATAATATTTTCAAGTTGCCAAGTCGGTCCTTCTGTCACCACGTCGATGTGCGCATGATACGTCTGTGAAGTAACATTTTATATAGTATACATAAAATGATTTTAATGTACATATTTTGACAGTTTTACTCTAAAGCTCAAATATAAATATAAATACCTGGTGACCTATAGAAATTTTCGGAATTATGTGTACGGGAGCGAGTTGAAATTTTTGCAGTTTATTTTTATACAATTTCTTGGATGAATCTATAACGAAGTTGACAATGTCAGTCGTCCAAGTGCTAATCATGTACTTGTAGGAGGTGACGATGGCCATTATGGCTGCGAAAGGTAAGACGTTGTGAGCGTCTCCGCCAGTTATAGCGGATGTTCCTCGGATAATCTGAGAGTTATCTGGCAAAGTCTTGAAGTTGCTCGGCTTATAAAGTTCCTCAGACGGTGTAGATTCGACTAGAATTTCGTCCAGCGGCGGAGTTAGTTTCTTGCGGTACTGGCGCAGCTTGGATCGCTGGCGAGCGTCCTCAGTCAAAAGAATCCTGCGGTCAACGTCGACAGGCTCAAACGTTTGAACTTCGTCTTCGACAATCTCTATCGGTGCAAGCTGAAATGTAATAAAATGATATAAGCGGTGACTACAAGTTTAAATTCTCAAGGGAAATAATCAAAACTATAGCTTTCAAGTATGTCGATTGAGAGATAAGTAATTGCATATTTTAACATAATTAAATAATACCGGAACTTCAGGTTCGGGCTGCGGCGAAGGCGGCGGCGGCGGTAGCGGCGGTGGCAGCTCCTCAGCCTTCCTTCTCGCTTCTTCTTCTTCAGCTTTTTTTCTTTCCCTCTCTTCCTTTTTTCTAAGTATCGCTTCCTCATCTTCCTCTTCTTCTTCAGCTTCTTCCTATCTCGTAAAATCAGAAAAAATGGTTAATAGCTTTGTAAAACAATAAGCTGATAAGCACTCAGTTTAAAAAGATTTTAAATACGATAGAAGGTTTTGACGAATTCGCGTATTGTTTGACTCTAGGTAATGTACTGAAGTTATTATAAAAGTCAATCGAATTATATATTTGATGTGTGATTTTAATAAATGCCTTAAAAATATTCACGTACCTCTACTCCTCCTTCTGGTGGCTGAAATAACAAAAATTAAAATTACAGTCGCACAATATGTAACAATGAGACGTCACAAATATGGTCAATACAACTTGTTTCGTAACTGCCAATTTAACAGATGTAAATATTCAAATAAATATAATATTTATACAATGAACAAAAGGTTAACAAACGCGATACAAAGAATTCTAAGTAGCCTATACGATATAACTCCTAAAATATATCCTGGTTCTTTAAGCCTAAGCTTTCTCTAAGGAGTTACCAGTTAATAAAAATGAATTTAAAGTTTCACATTTAGAACATTACTGAGAAGTAATATGAAAGAATGTGTATGGTCATCATCGTCATCATCATCATCAGCTCACTATACGTCCCCACTGAGGGGCTCGGAGCCTACCCTAAGTTAACGGTGATTAGGCCATAGTCAACCACTCTGGCCAAGTGCGGGTTGGTTGACTTCACACATATCTTTGAATTTCTTCTCAGATATGTGCAGGTTGCATCACGATGTTTTCCTTCACCGTAAGAACGTCGGATAAATGTACATATATAAATCGGAAATCGAAAAACAAATTGGTACGTGGCGGGATTCGAACTCAGGACCTGCAGATCGCAAGTCAAGTGCTTGACCACTGAGCCACCGACGCTCATAGTGTATGGTCAAGGTGTCAATAATTCTGTGAATACCACCATTTCAAAGTAAAGTATTTAGATAAGTTTGATATAATTTCTGATTTCCATTGAATTCGAGTAGGTATATAGTTACGGGCATGGGTGGCGGTGTGGGCGGCGGCGTGGGCTCCGGGTCGGGGTCGGGCTCGGGCGGCTCGCGGCTCTTGTCGCGCGGTGTCGGCCACGGCGGCACCACCTGGGTCACCGACACCGTCGGGGAGTCCAGGTTCACTGCGACACACATTACACCTTAACATCATATCATTTGGAAGGAAAGGGAAGGGGAGGGGAGGTTTTTAATCAAAACAAAAAAAACATACGAAAAAACCTATATAAATAATCTTTCGAAAGTATACTTTAAGTACTGTTTCTGTTTGTTTTTACCAATTTTCGGTTGTTCCGGCTCGGGTTCCATGTTCTTGTATCGCAGCGGTATCGGTGGCAGATAATCATCTTGTATGCTGTCCACTAACGATATAATGTCACCCATTTGTTCCTCATCAACACGGGACTGGAATCAAAGAAATGAACAAATTTAAATATCATATTTGTATACATAAAAACATACTTTCGGACGAAAATCATGACCTCATCCATCATCCTCACAGGAAAACACGTCGGATTTCTACAACGTATTTACCTTTCCCACATCGTCGTCCACAGGATCCGCAGCAAGAATTTCATGGAAGATCTCCTTGCCGTCGCCATGACCTTTACTAGAGACCAAGTACTTTTCCCTCCTCTTAAACTTGCCGCCGGGTAACTGCTCGTCACTTAGGGTACACACAATTTGTTTCTGCAAAAGTTGCAACTTGTAAAGAAAGTGTATGTCCAATAAGCACTTACAATTTAGCAATATTACTCAACCCTTTCAAAAGTTTCATAAACATTCGGTCAAGTGGTGAAAATGTGTACAATCTTATATACACAATTACACGATTCGACTGAAAGTTGAAAAGTGTACGTTAGAACTTTAGAATTTACCTTTGGTTCGCGCTTTTTTAACTTCAGTACTTTAAATGCGTGAATACAAAACGGAGTAGTAATTGGTAGGTAATCCCAGTTTTTGGTAAACACCGACGCCATTGTTTCCGGGTTTAATAGCATCCAACAACATGCTTTGCCTACAGTGTGCGATCGCATACCATCGTTAGTGCGTGGATAGCAATCAAATAAATAATACATGTCTTTCTGTCTCCACACAGCAAGAGAATAATTGTTAAATTCCAATATACCGCTGTTGTATTCACGATTAAAGAATTCCTCCAGTCCAGTCTTTATGTTAAGGAAGCAATCTTTAGTCGTAAACAGTTGCCCTTTTATTCTTTCTCTATATATTATTATCTCGCACGCGAACGGACCGAGAGTGATCTCATTAGGAATGTTGTCTATCGTTATATCGATCACGACTTTTGGATGAGCACATTCAACATATAGTTTGTTGCCTAAACGCAATATTTTATCGAGAGTCTTTGTAAACCACGTGTTCGGAGGAGAAATCTTTGCATAGGTCATTGCCACCACAGCAATGGGTAAGGCCTGACGAAATTTCGTGTCTTCGAAACATCTATCTCCAAGATGCATGTTAGCATTAACAATTGCACAATTCTCATTTAAAATTCTGTAACTCATCATCGCTTTTTCTGCTTGTGTCAATTCTTTGTCCGATTCGAAATCTTCGTCTGCATTTTCATCCACCATTTTCAGGACTTTTATGGGAGCTAGGACAAACTTCTGATCCTCCACTACACTTCGAGCCAAAACAACTTCAGCCACGGAAACTACATCTTTGACATTTATTAGAGCTGCAGATCCGTTTGTGAAGTTCGAATACGCGCGAGAATCTCTGCCGGCAGGGTCGAAGATATAAAAGCATATTTTGTCCTTCCATATCACTAGCTTCAAGACGCTAAAAAGAGAACAGAAGACCATAATTATAAGACACTTGAATTCATCTCAATTTAAGCTTAAGCTTAAAAAAATGATCATCTTACCGAGTAAGAAGGATCCCAGCCCTGTTATCAGCAAAGAATGCTTTCAAACCTCTACATAGATTGTACACAGTTGGATCGAGAGACATTGTGTAGCCCACCACATCAGGCTCTCCCAATAACACTTGCATTCGTTTTCCGTTAAGATTCAACGTTTGTTTTTTACCGAACGGCAACACTTCGCACATACCTTGAACAGCCGAGTGATCGTGCACTTTTTCTAGACATTGCAAATACCTGTTATGATAACAATAAGATTAGTATCACGTAGCTCTCATAGGAAGTGAGAATGTGGTACAAAACCTTCGTTAGCAATCTTATCAATCGATCTTATGTACCATTCGTAACTTATACCTTTATCAGGTTTGGTTCAAATTTAGTCGTCTTAAGTCTTTGTGGACGTGAGAATACAAAGCAGGCATACACAAACACGACGCTGAGTGAGATTTAGTTCATTCAACTATTAAGTCCGACCGATAATTTGTACTAAAAGTAACAAGTCAAGTACCACTGATCCCCTGCGTCTATGAGGTTGTCAATGAGCTTCATCGTCCACTGCTTAGGATGGTAATGGAAGGCGAGGCAGTAGGCCATCACGCTCATCGTCAACGCCTGCCGACCTCGCGACCTGTTGCCTGTAATAGTATAATACATATTACAGTTCGGTGGGATACAAAACGCAGGTTGGGATTAGGCTAACAAAAAGGTTCGTCTTACCAAATTTGCTGTCGTACATGTTAAAAGACCCAGTCAAGATGCCATAATGAATATCAGCCTTTTTTTCTTTAGTGCATGGTAACACTGTTAACGAGTGAGTTTTCAATGTTCCTCTTTTAAGATTTGCTGGGATGTGTACCTTGAAAAATATTTTAGCAAGATTAAATTGAGCGAGAAAGTATTTTTTTTTCTCACAATGTAATGTCGTTGCCTACATGTTCTGGTTTCGGTATTTCATCAAGTCCGCACACGGAATCGTCATCTTTCAAATGTTTTTGTGTGCCTCGAGCCCTCGGTTTTCCATCAGTCACTCCTATAGTTGTGTAGGGAAGATCCGAGTGACGGCTAAAATCATAATAATATATGTTAAACTAATTAAAAGCAAACAACATATTTTAACGATAACTAAATATTTTGTATCACCTTCTCTTTGCTTCTCGTAGCCGTTTTCGTATTGCAGCGCATTTCCTAAAATTCATAGAGCTTTTAACATATTTACCATAGGTTTATTTAGAAAACAATTTTATTGACTGGTTCATTAAACTTACCGACATTTCTTCCCTCCACATTTTTTGGAGCCACAAATCCTGTAAATTACGATCTTATTAGCAATGATATATTGGAAACAAAAATCAAATAAAAATATATTACAGCATTACCTTGCTTTACGACGTCGTCTTTTATCTCCTTTTCTTCTAAAATGATAATTCTTTTTGATAAAAATTTTAAAATATGAATAAATACCAATTAAAACGTATTAATTTACCCCGGTCCGCCTACTACTGGTATGTCGACAACAAAATCTTTTTCTGCATTGATCACGATCCCACTGTGAGGTTTGACTAATCTGTAAAGTTTAACTCAGTTTAATTAAATGTCCTTTCTGAATTATTTCACTAATTTTTGTTGGCACATACTCGTGTCCCGATTGCGCGGGCAATGGTGGTTGTAATTCTTTAGGTTGCACACTCGCTCGTTGCACGCTGATAAATTCCCCGCTTGTTTTTGGACTTGGTACCTAAATTTTGTTAAATATATTATTAGATTACTACAATGACCTCAATATACAAAGACAAGATTACATTCTGATATACTTAAGTCATGTAATTTAGTGAAACACAACATGATATTAAATGAAACTAGCTGTCGCCCGCGACTCCGTCCGCGCTGGCTGAAAAAACACTGAATTATCGCCTCTTGAATCTATGCCAAATTTCAGCGAGATCCTTGCAGCCGTTCTGTAGACCTTGTAGACCTTCAAACAAACATCCATCCATCCAAACATTCGTATTTATAATATTAGCAAAAGATTACATCAAAATATAGGTACAACAAACCATTTTATAACTTACTTTTAATATTGATTTATCTGATGGTGTATGTTTTATGACGGGCGTTGGTTCCGGCAAATGTATATCTCCAGGTAAGAGATCGTAATACCGCACTCTCTTCTTTTGTAATTTCTTTTTACCTCCTAATATGCTATCACATTCTTCAGACGACGACCCGAAACCATAATCAGGAAGCGTTGATCTTGTTTAAAAAAATATATTAAGTGAACTAGTACATCAGCGTTATGTTTATCAAATATAATTTGTAAACCATACTTAAATATTATAGCAAATAGTATGGAGTTCAAAAGTAGAAAGCGGTGCTTCTCAACGCCGACCGAATTGTCCGCCTGTTTCTTCCCCTTTTCACCTAATCCTCGGCAGTTTGTTCTTCTCTGCCGAGAGAATCCGGCCTGGCTGGGGTTTTTTGTATATACAACTAGCATAAATAGTAAAATATTTCGACATCTTATGTATTAACAGGCTAAGTCTAACTTACCTTGACTTTTGGTAAGACGGTGCCGTTGATTCGATAGGACAATGAGTTATATACCGCAATCTGAAATTATTATTACAAATAAGCATATTTCGCAATTATGTGTGTTCCCTTTCCCGCCAAAAACACAATTCCTTTCGTATCTTTTCCGTATAAGAAAATGGAAGTAAGCATAGACTTTGGTCTTCGGCACACAAGCTGATTAGACGATAATGAGAAATAATTCCGCTTTACTCCTATCATCTATGTGGACGTGATTTTGCACCTGTCAAATGTGCTATTCCTGCAGTTTGCTTCAATTTTCTTTGCGGCCAGTGTGAGGAAGAGAGCGCCTTAAGAAAAACCTATTTGCCGATACAATATAAGTCATTTTACTTGATTGAGAAAGTTACGGATATCTAGGGATATCTATATTATTACCTTGTATGCATGGATGGAGTCATTGGCACGCACGTGTCTTTGAAATGCCGTGGCTTGAAAGGCTTGGTCTTGAAATATGGACGTTGAACAGTCTTGCATTTTTTATATTCTTTCTCAACTAAATTATTTTATGAAATAATTATAGGTTAGTTATAAAGTTTCACTAAGGGCCTCCTTTAAAGGCGACAGTAAACATCCTATTCTAGATATGAATAGATGTTAAAAATATAAAATCTTTAGTACTTACGCTCCTCTTGAAACAAGAGAGCTTCAATAATTTCTTGGACATTTTTACAGTCCGTAAATTGAATACGTTTACATAATTTCTTGTAATTTCCTGGACATCTACAGGGACTAAAATTAAAGCAAAAATTATGATTTTTTCAGATACGGCACATTAATTTAATAGAAAACTGCTTTGCCCCAATATTTCCATGTGTTATGCAGTTTAGGGAAGAGACGATGGCGATGTACGTGATCTGAGGGAACTTTTTAAAACTAACCACATTTTCTACTTCCTCTTTAAGTTTCAATTTCGTACCCATATACATCTATCTATTTACATATGTCTGATATGAATTAATGCAAGATTATTTTAAATTGAATTTTGTTTTTATTCAGATATTTTTTTTTTAATTCAAATAATAGATAGAATGACTTACTGTTTTTTGCGGTCCATTGTAAAATAATACAAATTTCGTAATTTTTTATGCTATAAATTACTTACAAATTTAGTACATGATTATTTTGAAAATAAAAGCTTATTTTGACATATTTCAAAAAAATGATAATTTGATATTTGTATGACTTTGATTTTAGAATTATAATGTCTTTGGTTAATTCTTTGACTATAGTCAAAAGTATATAGAATATATAAAATATATTCGAATAAGGTTGGATTTTTATAAATGCTTTTTTTCCTATAATTATTTTTATGGTTTATCACTTAAATAGCTGTCTTCCCCGATTCCGTCTGCGTGGAAAAAATACAAAATCAGTAGCTTATGTGTTCTTCCAGGCTGTGTTCTACATTTATGCCAAATGTCAGCTACATTCATGGAGTTGTTCTGTCAGCCGTAGTAAGTTTTATATTCTATTTTACTTATACTTACAACAGATCTATATCATTAAGGATCAAGAAAGAATGAAGAATGTTAAAAGACAGCAATTAAGAAACATAATTATTAATGAATATATAAGCAAATAATAATTCCCAAAAATTTTAATTAAAGTTAATCAGCTTTATTTCCATACAGTGAATTGAAAAAATCTAACACCATTAGTATTAAATAAGCTTAAACATTAATTTCTTTACCCAAAAAACTTTACCTTTCATAATTTTTTTTTTAAATTTCAGATACCTTTTTTATAAATTTTTAAAATATTGACATAACAAATAAAATTGTTGATGCTTTTAATACCCAGATAATATTTCAACCCAATTTCTAACTTGTTAGATATCAACAAAAATATATTTTTTTTTAAATATACATATTTGAAAAAATTATACAAAAACGTATGAACAAAATGTACTTGTTTTTGTTATTCTTCATTGAATACCATCCACCAAAAAAAATTGCTTTTTAACATCAAAAGGACTGTGAAAAAGTTGCATGGTTCATCTATTAACTAGATTCGAGTTTATTAAAGTACTACATATTTATACTATTAATACAACTTGATAGTATCATTCATTTTAATACCCAAATTCTTTTATGAGAAATATGATTCAGGTAGTGCATTAAAAATCACACCCATAGTGCAGATATCTCATACTAAATCTACATTAGGTGGCTTCCTTAGTAACCATTTAACTCTGGCAGTGGCAGTACAAGTGATAACTAAGAAATAAGGAATGCTTTTGAAAAGAATCAACTAAACATTGAACTGTGCAATGTCTCAAGATCTTCAACTCTTTCTTGAGCTCGTTTTTTTTCTTTTTTGAAGTTTTCATAAGCTTCATCATCAGTTTTAAGTTCTAATCGGCAGAATGGACATGAATTTGTCTGAAAGTAAAAAAAATATATAAATTATTATAAAAATTACTCAACAGCTTATAATTTTCCTTGCATATTCTAAGTAAATTTAGCTTACTATCACAAATCTGAAATATTGAGTTTTACTGGACTTGTAATGCATTAACAGTAATTTAAGTACAATAATAGAAACTAAACTTATTTTACCTTATTCAACCAAGTTAATATACATGTAGGATGAAAGAAATGTTCACAAGGAAGTTTCTTTGCTTTTTCATTTATTTTAAAATCCTTAAGGCATATAGGACAGTTCTTCCCCTCAGTATCAATTGTAATTTCCGGCAAATTATTTACAACTTCCTTTGATGCTGGTGGTGGTAAGCTAAAAATTTGGAAACACTGTTGTCAATAGAAACATTGAAAAAATAATGACTTAAAACCTAGGTTTTGAAATCATTATATGGTATAAAATCACACAAGTTTACTACCTGGGCCATTGCATATTCGGATTATCATTATCAAAACCATAATCCATAAGGAACCTTGCTATATGAAGCATGTGATCCGGTTGTTCGCCATCAGCCAATTCATTCCATCCCATCTCTTGAAAATAATCCATGTTATAAACACAATTATAGCTTTTTGAGAAAATCTTTCTTCGTGTACATTGACTGTATGTTTGTAATATGTTTACAATTTTACCAAAACTTTTTTTTCAAGTCATTGCATTTTGACACTTTATAATTTGTTTCGATAGATTTGACATTTAATTTGACTTTGACATAATGTTTTTTTAAAGATGTTATGGCCTCGTTACGAGACTTTAAAACCCGTAAACATAGAATTGCTGTATTAAAAGCTACATTAGTATTAGTTTAGTATTATATTACCTATGCTAGTACTGATTTCGATTAGTATTTTTTATCCCAGAAGTCCACTTCACTGACTGATAAAGAGCAGATAATAGGAGGAAATAAAAAAGGAATGGAATGGAACTTAAAAAAAAACATACTGTATAGGTACTTTCAAATATCTTAGCGGCCCAACGTAATCTGCTGCCCAGTGGCTTATCCCCTCATCTTGCTATGCCCCGCTTTACACTTTGTAAAATAATATACACTCCGTCACCCTGAACCTGAAGTATCGTACACACGTGCCACGGTCCACCTCTTTTATATTCCTGTTCACTCGAGGCTTCACTCATTCAAATTTGATAATAGCTATCATTATTTTAGCCCTATGTTTACGACAAAGATAATATTTATCAAGTTATTTATTATTAGAAAAATTAACGTTTTGAACCTGCCACTATAGTATCGATTAAGTAACTATTTATACATATAATAAAGATATTGAATACAAAATACTATTATAAGTGTAAGCGAAGCGGTAATGATATGGACCCCACTGTTGATTTTAGAATGAAATAGGTCCTTGAAGCTAACATTCTTCAACCAGATAAGGTAAGGCGTTGAGTTGCGAACTAGGACATATTATGCATGCAAAATATATGACAATGTGGTTACAGTGTACCTACAGTTAAGCACGCGTTCTGTAGACAGTATTCAATTACGATAACATGTTTTGTAACACATTAATTTTATACCATATTTAATGAAAAAAAAATAAGCGAACCTAATCCATTTTCTAAACAAATGAATTATGTTTATATATATTTAAACCGTAATCATGGGGGGTCAGAGATTAAGTATGTAAGATAAAATTGGGAAAGGCGGTATTGAGACAACTAAAACCGTAGAACATGCATGTATAGATGTATGAATGTGGATATGGCGAGAGGTATGCCAGGATCTCGTCATATAGACTCTCTGCCTACCTTTCTTTGTCACGGGCGTGACTTATATTGTTACCCATGCGCTTATGCAAAGAAAGTCCACTGACGCTACTTAAGGTGCAACCTAAAGCCCTATTTCGAGTTTTCTGACATAAAAATAAAACAGTGAGAACGCTTCGCCTAGCACGACGTTCGTCATCGTTTGGTCGCATGTGTACATATATTGTGTTTGTGTAGGTAATGTTTACGAGTCGTATTTTTACGCAGTCTCATATCAGAACGCCCGTTGAATAGTCGGATTGTGTGTGGTGATAAGTATTTTTATTGTATTACTAAGGAACACTTATTTTTGGTAAGATATTTAAATATTATTAGTGATTTAAATTTATATAATATGGAAATGTTTATGTTACATATTACATATGTTTTATTAGGTAATTGACCTAAAATTCTTATCTTTTAGATGGTCGATTTCTTATTTGAAAAACTAAATTACCATAACCATATAGATGGAGAAAATTTAATATGAATTTTAATAATAATAATCTTGATAAAATGTCAATATCAACAGTGTAACGTTTAAATCAATTTAAATATTACATTTATATTGGAAATAAGATAACATTTGTTTTTTTCTTACATAACATAAAAATGCAATTTGTTTACTGACGTATATTACGCGTCCTACATAGTAGGTACCTATAACGTCTTGGTATAAACAATACTAACTATTCGTAGGAGTTTACAAAAACTCGTTCTCTCGTATGCATTACAAATATACGGCAAGCGTAGTGCAACGGGTTTGTTACCGGTTTGAAATGGAAACCGTTGTGTTAAATTATCAAACCTACTCATGTCCCACGCTCCCAAGCATTCTTCGACCCTAGATAGGTGCGAGTACTTTTATGACTTTCACCGGACGTACAGATGCGTAATATTAAGATGACATCACGTACTGATAAGCGCAAAATTTTATCAATTAAGATAACAATGTAGGTGTAACCATAATTTAAGCACCAAAGGGACTAAATGTTTCCATTGTAGTATTCGAATACGTAAACAGTTTTGTCAATTTAAAAACTATTAGTAATCATTTTTCTAATATCGATTACTTTGTTTAAAACTTCGTGAAACTTTTTTATAAAACTTATAAACTAAATAAACGCGGTTGCATAGAGCATCTCCTCCCTCCATAACATGAGTCAAACAAGATATTTGGTGGGACGTTAGCGGGAACTGAAGGTCTGTACGACGTGTATACTTCAACTGTCAATTAGACATTGTTCCCATTTGTATAGCACCGCCATAAATCTACCAGAGTTATGCTTCATTTTGACATTGATCACTAAAATATGATCATATTGAAGTTTCGCAATCTTGATAAAGTATTGGATCGATTTCTATTCAGCATTAATTTTATAATTAGAAAGTAACAGCGTTACTCGAGAGTAAAATATTTTAATTAATATCGTGTGTAATTGAAATTTCCCCAAGCGACCGGTGGCACGAATTAAAAAAATTGTACTCATTAACTTAGTTATGATTAACGGTTGATTAACCATTGCAATATTTTGTAACGTATAAGAGACATAATACGTAAAACGTTAGGAGAGACCTAAAGGTTAGAAGTATACTTAGGATGGTGTGTGCATGCTACTAAGAATGAAATATGACAAGAAGTTTTAAATATTATAGTGGATAGATTGCTGGAAGACTGACATGACCAATAAAGTTTACAGATGCATACGAGTGAGATAGTCAGAGGGATTATGACGTAATATATTTAAAAGTCTCGTCTCTCATTTTCAAAGAAATATGCGAGCATTAAGTAAAAATTACACGTGTATAAATACTATATACTTGTAGATACGATAAATCAGTAAACAACAATTTGTACACGTATTTTATCTGCCCTTGGCACTGATGTCATCAATATATTATTCTTGCAAACAGGAAGGAGCGAAAAATTTAGTGTTCAGATAAATAAGTTAAGAATGTTAAAAATAAGTTATGTGCACTTTTCTTATTTCAAAGTAATTGTTATTATGCAATCGTGTTTTTCGATAGTTTATATCTCATAAACCTTGGATATTTCACGTTAAGTGAAAATTTGTCTTGATCAAAAATGAAATAAGCTATTAAGAAATTACTAATTAATTGCCCATTTCGGAATTTTCATTATGTGCGAACGAAACTAGCCTAGATTTACAAAACATAAGAATACTGATTACTTACAACTAGAGATAAGAGTCCTACACAAGAATCGTAAGTCCAAACATTACAGCTATTCATATTTTTTTAATTTATAACAATTATATTGATATTAATTATTATGTAACCATTACCTTCAATGACATTGTATGTTGTGTTAAAAGATTAAATTTGGTCAACATACATATAGATACATTGAGTACTGATTGAAATATAATATTTTACAAATTTGAATGACGAAGAATTTTGATACAATATAATTATGCTGGTTTTACCCTAATGTGTAGTAAAAACACATCAGAACTAAATAGCGTGTCACAACGTTTATTTCAGGAAAAAATATTCATTGATTACTCACGAACTTGTATCATATAATTACACCGAATTACTACGTGTTTTTTCGTTGTATTACGTTGTATATGCGTTCACTGATACAAGTAGATGCATAAGAATGTGATCGGCAACCTAACTAGAGCGGATCAAGTACTATTTTCGTTAAACGATACGTATTAACACGCGCTAGTTATTCAATAGAAACTAAATGTGAGAAGTGTTAATACGAAAATTAATTAGGCCTTGAAATTCATTCGTGATAAACACAGCAATAACCTTTGATTATAAGATAATAAGAAATATGACACATAGTTTAAGAATAACCGTTCTACTATAATACCGGTACGGAACTCGTTGATATGTCTGTTCTCTTGAAGAAAATGAAAGATATGACAATATGTTTTGTACTATTTCAGTGGAAATTCACGGTGATAATGTAAGGGGGTATTTCCTGTTCAATCGGCCCATTGGGAACTTATTTCCCATTGAGCCGATTGAATCCATAGAATCAATTTTTCTCCTTCTCGGCTGATTTTCTAGTAGACCGATTATCCCAACAAGAAAGACCAAGGCTATAAAATACACAAAATTCTGTACCGGGTTATAAACGTATTCTACCTTGTAGGATGTCTACCCACGTTAAGTCGTTTTTTGAGCAAACTGTCACATCACATTCATGAAAGTTTAACTACGATTTTAAGATTATCATTATTATGTTTTATATCAGAGTTACGGCAGTGGAAATGCACAATTATTCGTTATATGTTTCAGTTTTCATACCACTTAATAAGAACTTGCCCTATTATTTCTAATTTAAGGAGTTATATTTCTGTATCCACATCATAAAAGATGCCTGACCTTAATTCATAGTTTACTCGGAATCTTCGCGTAAAACGATGAATGATGTAATGCGACTGATTAAGGACTGGTTTTAGATGTAACATATTTCTAAAATTTATTCTCGTTCGTTAATATAGTAAACAAGTAGAAGTGAACGAGTAATATTCTTGTATGTTATATAATAATATAGAAATCCATAAATCGTATGCAATTACAAATAGGAAATTAACAAACTGAATGGATTTAGAATCGACGGTGCCTACTTTTTAACAGATAGTCATGAAAATTATTTTAAAATGAGTTACAAAAATGAAAACTACATAATTTTGTATGGTGTACTGGCACAACACTAGCCTTACAAAAATGTCGACGTTTATGTCCCCTCACTATTCATTCTGACACTTAGTAATGAAAGCGCGCCATTCGCGCCAAAGGATTCTAATTAATAATGTCTAAAAATAAAAATGATTTTTTTTTGTTACAGAGAATGGGGAACGTAGTGTTTTCAATAATCTGGCTCTTGATCCTAATATTCATAGCGTTTTGGGTCGCAGGCATAGCTGCGGGGATCTACATTATCGTACTACCTTTCACTGTATGCATAGAACCTTTATCGGTAAGTTTTGCATTAGTATAATAGAAATACTAAACTACCTATACCTATACAAAAAATTACGCACAAACTTATTCAATTTTCTCGTCTCCAATTTACAATTTACAATCATTGATTTCTTAACCGGGCTTGGATTTCTGGACAATGTTTTCTAGTGCGAAAGGATGTTAGTTTTAAAAAAAGGATCTTGACAGGCAGACGGACGGACGGACAACAAAGTGATCCTATAAGGGTTCCGTTTTTTTCTTACGAGGTACGGAACCCTAAAAAAATTGTCCTTTTAGTTATGACATTATTTATTCAATAAATAATGTCATTATTTATTCATAAATATTGATTCAATTTTTTTTTTCAGGGATTAGCTGATTTCCTATTATCAGTTGTTCAGTTCCCGAAATACTGTGCTCAAGCGATGATGGAAGGCAAAGGTTTCAATTGATTTCTAGTCGTATTAAAATTCTATATAAGAATACCTGATTAGTACATACATTAATAACTATTTAACATATTGATAAATAAATGAGAATGTTTGTATTTATATTGTATGATTAAGTAAAAATATCTTATTTTTACATGTTGTATTCTATCCGTTTTTTTTCTAAAATAATAAAAATACCTCACTGTTTTTCTTGTTTTTAATTTATCATAGTTAAAATATAATTATGAAACCTTCTGAAATGCTTCATAAAAAATTCACACGTTCACTTTTAAGGTACATTACGCTTTTATTAACAAAGGGTCTTGACAGACAGACGGACGAACAACAAAGTGATCCTATAAGGATTCCATTTCTTTCTTTCCAGGTACGGAACCCTAAAAAACATTTTATTACATCTAGTAGAACTATATTATTTATTTTACAAGTAACAACGATTAAAAACAAACATATTTGTTTTAATTTCAGGCTAAAATTACATTAAAAATGTACCTTACTTATCTAATATGTATCAACTTAAAAAAAATATGTATAAAACATTGTTAGCAAGTTAAAACTGCTTGAGTTGTAATTCAAAAACATTTGATGCAAATAAAAATGTGTAATATCTACACACCCTTTTATGAGACAAGAATAGGACTAATATATACATAATTTATTACAGTAGAATTGAAAGGACAGAATTTATGCTAACGTTAAGAAAAATAAACGTTCCGGAGGCCTAATTTAGTCCACCTTTCCTTCCCACCCTTTTTCTTATAAGGAAAGGATGGGAAGTGGAAGTGGACTTTCCGGATGAGAAGATGCATGGAAAGGGAAGATATTTTATTTCTGTGCATCCTCTCTTCCGTGGATTAAAGGTAGGCAACGCATATGGAATTGTGTATGTCTGGGCAATGGTCACTTTGCTATTTCAGCGATTTCAGATGGCCGCTCGCTCGTTTGACACCTTATGATATATTAAAAAAAACGTGCCTATTTTATACATAACATTATGTACAAACATAGTAACTGTATTTAAAAATAATATTACTATAACAAATGTAATCAATCATAAATATATGGCAAACTGTATCAAACAGTTAAAAAACTAAAGTTTAAAAGCACTAACATCCTTGTAATTATAACGAGGTAGTCAATATACAACGTGTCCGAAAATTCGACGATTAAATTGTAATGGTGTACAGCCAGATCGATAACTACATGGGGAAAATACAAAAAAATTCTACTCTTTTTGTTTTAAAATTTAAGTTACATTAATTTTTGTAACTTTTCTCCACCATATGATTAGACACTGTGGCTACAAATATTAAGATATTCCTGCAATTTTTTTTATTTTTTTAATTATGAGAAAAGTTATAAAATTTAATGCAACTTTTAAACAAAAACAGTTGATTTTTTTGTATTTTTCCCCGTGTAGTTATCGATCTGGTTATACACTATTACAGTTTTATCGTTGAGTTTTGATATATAAATCACTGGTTATATTTGTCATCTGTATTTCCTTAAATCTTTGATTAGATTATGATTAATCTGATTAGAGATGGTTGCTGTAAAAATTGTTTATGTTTAAATTTAAAATTAGAAATAATATTTTTTAGACTTTTACCTCCATCCATTATGATAAAAAAATTAATTATAATATTTCTGCAATCTTTCATCGCATGCAACATATCACATTGTTTTAAACTGAACTCCTTTGGTTTATTACACTGGCCGTTATGGAATTTAAAATAAAACGATATTAAATTCACCACTTTAAAAATCCATTTCCATAAATGCGGTTCGAATTTAGTATCAATTCATATGTTTGAGTATTTTTTCTAAACATTCGCGAAGAGAATTGGCTTGCTCCAAATATTTTGTAATAATTTCCCTGAAAAACAAACATACAGTTAATAACTCAACATTTTAGTACTTTTTTAGTATATTGTAAAATATTTTAAATCTTACTTATATTATAAATGCGAATATTTGGATGGATGGATAGATGGATGGATGTTTGTTAGAATGTATCTCCAGAACGGCTCAATAGATCTTGATGAAATATGGCACACATATAGAACATAGCTTGGGGTAACACATAGGGTTCTTATTAAGTTTTTTTTTATTCCCCGCGGTCGACAGTGCTTTTTTTTATAAGACAATTATAATTCTTACTTGTATTTTTTTAAATCGCCTTCATCAAATTTAAAATCTTCCATCATATCTTCTGCCTTTAAAACGTCAGCAATGTGTGACACAAATAATTTGTCATCTCGCTTAATAATTCTAAAACGTACATAAATATTACAATAAATTACAAAAAAAAGGACTAATTTCAATTTTTTCATTTAAAAAAAAAAGTTAAAATAACAGTTCAATAATAAAAGAGATATAAAATATTCTTCTTTAAATTTTAAATAACGGCACTTTTTTTAATGTATAATTTTTATTAAATGTTTGCGTGCATAATACAATATAATAAGAGTTCAGTCCTCTCAAAATGTCACTGACCTGTCCAGAACATTACAAATGTTAGTTATTTTCGAATAAACTTCTTTGACCTCTAATAATTTTCTATCAGGATCAGATATGTTTATAGCCTTTTGACACGTCTTACTAAAAAAAAACAATCAAGATAAAAGTTATACTATGTTTTTTTTTTCACAATTTATTTCTTTAATAAAAACTTCTAAATGTATTTTTTACATCGAATAAATTAGCGTTTTATCCGATTCCAATTTATGTTAAATAGTAATTAGATTGTGTATAAAGCAAACTTAATTTAACACATTCAGTGACATCAACTCATCTGGCAAATATATTTAAATAAAAATAAAATCGTAGCAGCACTGAACGAAATATTCTATACTGCTATTATATAGTACAAAGATGTGTATTTTTGTATGTAACGAAGAAACTCAAAATCAACTGGACCGAATTCAACAATTCTTTTGGCATTAGCAAGCTACATTATCTCTGAGTTACATAGCCTATACTTTCTAATATATATTTTTTTTAATTCCGCGTGGATAGTCACAGGGCAAAAGCTATATTGTATATCTTGAACTGTTACACATATATTTACTATGTCAATTGTTGTCAGTTTAATACATTATTCTTAAAATACTTACCAAAATGCAAACACAATGATAAAAGTTTGTCTAATTTCCAGTAACATATTATTAAAAATATTTTCAAAGGCGAAATATTTTCGATCATTCAGCCATTCTTTATCACTTTCATAATGATTGTATTCATCATCGGATGTATAATCATTATCGTTGTTATATTTTAAATAAGACTCTTCAAAATCATCATCATTCAATTCTAATGCTCGTATCGTAAGTTTTTCTTCGTAATCCGCACATTGATTGAAATTTACAATTATTTTTGGTTGTTTTGTATCATTATTAGAGTTTGTTGACATTACATTATTTATTGGAGATACATTTGAAGTATTTTTAACTGTTCTGACTTCGTGTAAAGTTGGTGGATCGTAAAGTGGTGAGTGAGGCTCGTCTATATAAGATGTCACACTTTTATTTTCACATTCATCATTATAATTCTTGAAGTCCAATGTAGATACCAATGACGTCATACTTTCAGCTTTCTCAATAATTTTATCATCGTTCACTCGTTCTTCGACTTTCTATAGAAATTTTTAAATTTAGTCATATTAAACCTTACTAATCAGTTTAGTATATATAATCTTAACCTAACTAATATTATGCGAATGTTTGGATGTATTGATGGATGGATGTTCGATAGAAGGTATCTCCAGAACAACTCCAGGGATCTCGTTGAAATTTGTAGATGTAGAACATAGTCTGGAGGAACACCTAGGCTGCTAATTTAGATTTTTTTTTAATTTCCGCGCGGACGGTGTCGCGGGAGGCAGCTAATGATAAAACAAAACAATAATTTTAACTTACATTACTTTCATTTTTAAATTTCGATCTCAACGTGCGCTTTGATGGAGAAGGTACCGGAGAAAAATCTTTTTTCTTTTTTTGATGAATCGGTGAATCTTTTTTATTTCTTACTAGTGGCTTTTCTTTTGATTCTGAAATGTAATTGTTTTTAATTTAACACTTTTAATACAATACACACTAACTCTGTCATGGTCTAATAGTAGAAGATTAAAAGTTTGAACATGGCAATACTTATTGAATGCTATAGCTGCTATCAACAATCAAACCTTTTACAAAAACTTTAGCCATTTCGGTTATATTTGAGATGTCAAACTTATATAATTATTTATATTTATATATTATGCAACATATTACCTTTATTTGTTTTATTATTGCTATTTAGGATACTTTCATCTTGTACGTCGGTAAATGCATCATTTTGACTAGTTGATAGATTTGGATGCTGAATATCATTTAATAATTTCGATAATGATTCAGATGCCGTTTGTAAATCTTCACAACCTTCCAAAGCAGCCTAAAATGATAGACAAGCGATTATATTAATATTTCACCTATTATTTCTACATCATATGTACAATCCGGGAAACTAGTGGTGTTTCAACTCGAAGGCGAGTCTTTTGAAAGTTTCATAGCTTTTAAATGTCTCAATGATATACAGCTTATTGCTTTTTACTACTATGCCGTCTTTTGCACACTTTTGCTACCTAAATAGTTATTTTGTAAAAAATGATGGACTTTGTCTCTGCAAGGAGGGAGACAATTTTTCTGTAAGTTGATCACCGCAAAATTCCTTGACTGTACACAAAACTTATAAATTAGTTTACCTGTAGGGTATCTATTAAGTAAACACCATAACTGTACATTTCCATGTACTGTTTTGGAGTGAGTTGAATATTTACTGTTCCTGAAAAAAAAGATAAAAGATATTATTATATCAACCAAAATCAAGTTAACCGACTTTTATTCGGATATTACCTTTTTTATCACTAATCTTTGTAAGAGTATTGGTCAATTTATTTCCAGCATCGATTATATCACGGTCCTTACGATATTTCATTTTGATACAAGTTGTCGCTTCAAACAGAGTCCATGGTGGAGCTAACACATTAGGGGACTGAGAGGGATTTTTCTGTAATACTTGTGTCAGTGCCTCTTCCATTATTTGTACAAAACGCGACACCCATTCATCGCTACGGGATTTCAAATTTTCATTCATAGCTTTACTTGTCACTTCAAACATAACATTGTTAGTTTCTTTTTCAATTTCTTTATCAATAGTAGTAATGAGAACATTTAGACAATTCTCATATTCATTATTAGGACTTGGTGCAGTAGATACAATGCCAGATGTGGAAGAACCGTCTGTTGGTGGTACATTATCATCGGCAACAGATTTACATTTATTGCGTAACTGTTTTTCTTCTTCAGAACATACAATTCTTTTAGGTATTTGTAGCATTGTATCATTGGTAAGAGAATGTTGGTTTTCTTCTTTTTGTTCAACAATATTTCTAGGTCGTTTTCTACGCCATTTGAAATTTCTTTGACTTCCATTATTGCCTTTTGTATCCGATTTTGGTGAATTAATGTCCCAACTTTTTAAAAATGAATTACAATTTTCTTTCCTTAGCATTTCTTTTAATTTGACAGAATCAGCAAGAATAGTTTTAACACTTTCCATATTTAATATGCGAGTAATTAATTCAGAATCTAAATCAGTTTGAACATAGACATCAACTGTATTTTTTTCTTCAATAAAATTGCAAGTTTCAACTCCCGTACTAACTTTAGTAGGTTCTTGCTTTTGTATTTCTTCTTTGATCATATCACAGTCTGATAAAATTGGTTTTTGGTCATCTGAGACATGTTGCATAGACACGTCCTGGGATGTTTCATTTGGAAATAAATGATTTCTAATTAAATTTGCATCCCCCAAAGTATTAACTATTGCTTTCAATTCATTAGCGGTTAAGATTAAAATTCTATCTGCATTTTCATACGTTTTTAGACGTTCATTATTGCTCAAAAGTATCTGCAAAGAATATTCAATATAGTGAAAAAATTCCAAAAAAATGAATGCAAAGTTACATATTAAAAGTATCATACTTACAATTTTCTCATGTTCTTCAACAAGCTTAAGGCAGCATTCAAAAACCGTAAAATGTACAGTGTTATCATTATTGATTGGATTTTTAACTGCAAGAGAAGAAAAATATAAAAAATAGTTGTGATCATGGTCCTTACTTTCAGAATCTAATCACATAACCATTAGGAAATTTATTATTCTTAGTTGTTTTTACAAAATTTTGTTAAAATAAAGTGTTAAAAATTAGGTGGCAGGCGAGGTGGTCCTCGCCTCTAGAGTTTGGTTTCAAACAAAAGAAATGTCAGTTGCACTCATAAATACATACCAATTGAAGCAAAGCCTCTTTTAACATTTTGGTATATGAAAATCATTGCTAATTGTGCCCACTTCCTTTTGGTAACATCAGGGCTTTTACTGGTTCTTCGGATGACCTCTACGACATTTTCTAGTATTAAAAAATGGAAAGTTTCACCTAAAAAAAATAATTGATAATAGTTTCTAACATAATTTTATATCTTGAAAAGAAGTGAATGAAGAATGAATATATATGTGAATGATAATTTTCTTCCCAGTTGCTTACAATTAAATTGAATCAAAAAATGTATGGTGTATACAGCACTAACTGTTGTTTTCAATTATTTTATTTTGAGTTTCTTCTTTTGTTATGTGCAAAGCTGTTAACCTCAAATTCCTGTGCATAAACTCCTAGTGCAGTGTGTGCTTCTCAATTCTTATAATTTCCATTTTCGTTTGTTTACAATTGTTGAAAATCAATATTGCATCTCATTTGTTGCAATGACCTAGTCACCCCTAACATAGGGTAGGCTTCAAGCCCCTCAGTGGGATGTGTAGTGAGCTGATGATGATGATGATTTATAGCAATTAAATATTGCTCTGGTATGCACAAGAAAATGGTATAGTGTAAATGGGCCTTTATATTTAAGAAATTGACAAACAACACTACTCACCAAACTTAAGCAAGAATTTCAAAAAATATATGTGCCAAAAAAATATATATACATCTGGGACTATATATATGCAATCCTCCATGTTTTCTGCATCAGTTGTGTCAACAGTGTTCTGTAATGATTAAAATTATATAATTTTATGTATGTTTTTGTTAAAGAGGAATGCTTTGGTAGTTTGGGCATCCATTGGACTAAAGGATTAGCACAATAGGTAAACCTGAGCTAACATTGTTGAGACTGGTCACATTTCAAAGAAATACAGTAAGGTATGCCCTCATAATGATGGTTTGATGTGTGAAGTTAAGAGAGAGTCAGAATAGTACCAGAGGACTACGGCTGTCATGTCTAGTTAAACAGCTAGTTTGACAAAAGGGTGCCCATTATATGGATAAGCAAGGATCCAAGGGACAGCAATATTTTTCTTGCAAATATGTGTCGAAATATAAGTCTGCCAATCCTGTCGATTGACTAAAGACTTCTCAACACACATCTATATTATAACTTCTACATATACAATAAACTCACCGTAAACAGTTTATGATTTATAATGTCGGTTTGATGTTCTTCATAATCATTAATGTCTAAAGTCTTAACAGTGCTGCTATTTACTTTGGTACCTACAAAATAAAATTTCTTAAAAAAATTAAGATTTTCAATGGCTTATATAATATTACAAGCCTAAACTTACTGTTACAATCTATTTCTTGCTCAATATTCATTACATTTAACTGCCTTTTCGATGAAATTATTGGCCTCAAATCTCTAGCAACTACTGATTGTTGGTATTTACTAGGCAAAGGATCAATTTCTTCTTGAGTAAAAGTATCAATTCCTGAAACTTCTACAGCTGTTGACTTCTCCTCTTGGTACGGCAAAATTAAGCGGTAAGGATTATTGACATTTTTTATAATTTGAAAACGTTTACTAAGTGGCAGTGTAGTTGTATGTACAAAATTATTTTTAAACTCATCAATATAGTTATGATCTAGTTCTATTTTAACTTGCGCCTGTTTTATCAATGAGAGTGAACTATTGGGAGTTGATGTTGCTGCCATTGGAACAGTAAGAACGAAATCATTCGTTGGATTTATGTTATCACATCTCTGAGCTTTATTAGTTTGGGATAAACTTTGCTCAATATACGGTTCACTGATGACACACTCATTAAACATTGTATTTGTGTAATCTGTGTTTTTGATTTGTTCATTAGCTTCAGATATAAAGATTTTTCTGCAAATGTCTTGAGGTGGTTCCTTTGGTTCTGGATAACTGTCTGTATGATCTTGTGTATCAACAATTGCTTTTGTTGTCTTTTTACACTTATCGTTCTGAAACAATAAAGCTAAATATAAACTGTTTTAAAACTATGGATACCTATACAAATCACAAGCAACGGATTTCTTGGAATTTAATGGTAAAATAAGCCCAAAAAATATTCAATATTAGAAATCAGTTTAATCTTACCTCAAAATCGGTTAAATTCCATATTGCTTCACCGGTAATAGTGTTATAATAATATATTCGCCTGTGGTGGGACTTAGATCTACACGTAATCCACGGATCACCAGCCGGACACGGTATGCATTCATTAGAATTGTTTTTGTTCATGCTTTAAGTTTTATTAAAGTTCAGTAAAAACATTTATAATAAAACTTGCACAACGCAAAATTCGTTAGACTTCTCAATTAACATTTTTTTTCGTTGACAGATTTTTCAGCGATTTCCAAAGAGTATAAAAAAGCAATTGACATTTGACTCCAAAGAGTACATACATTGGCATAGTCGCCAATGCCACTAAGTGAAAAAGTATACTTTTCTCCTTCTCTTTCTGTGGAGAGAAGACTCATTCTTTCGTGAAAATACATGAAGGCATTAGACAAACGTCTCATTATTAACCTGCCCTTATCCTTACGGAGGTTCGGCACAGTATGTACTACTCCTCCATATATCTCATTCTAAATAGAAGGCTGATGTCTGTCTACATTCACCCCTTCTTACGCATATCCTTTTCCACATAATCCATCCATACTTTCTTTACTTTTGTCTTCCATACATTTTTGTTTATGAGGTCATTATCTCTTTGCATAACATGTCCAAACCTTCAGCTCTTCAATTTCACGATCACTGGCGCTAATTTCAAACTTCCTCTAATATACATATTCTTAACTTTATCCCTTCTTCACATCACACATCTTAAGTTTAGGTAACATTATTACATTATCTTACTAAAATTATAAACGTGAATGGATGGAGGATGTTTTTTTTGAATGTATCTACAGTACGGCTGGATCTCGCTGAAATTTAGCATAGATGTAAAATATAGTCTGGAAGAACACATAGGGTTCTAATCAAGTTTTTTTTTTGTTTCCGCGGGGACGGAATCGTGGTCGACAGCTTGTTATTTATAAATGCTAAATCCATTTCTCTTTCCGAACCGTACTTTATAAAAAAAAAGGTTGGGAGGCCACGAGGACTAACAGGCGTGTCTTCTGTGTAGTCGTGTTTCATAACTATTTAAAGTCGCCAATTCATAACTATACATTATAAATAAGTGGCTTTAAATAGTAAAATTAAACTACGCTGCGAACACTCCAATTAGCATCAACTTGACCTTCTTCTACCAGATAGGGCGTTAATTCAGTTTTAATATAGATGTCGGTAAAAATATCTCAAGAGGTGAATAGTAAGAACACTACAGTTCATTCATTAGTAGACAGTTTTCAATGTAGGTAGTGTTCAGCTTGAAGTAATAAAAAATGTTTTTTACTATGTCCAAGAGAAAAGGGTTGGTGCTACTGGTTGTTTTTTTTTGCCACCAGTTTTTCAGGGCTCAAGGGCTTTTTAACACTACTATATTTTTGAGATGAAATAAGAAACACTTTAAATAAGCATAACGTTTATTTATTTCAATTTTTACTTTCTCTGAAGCTTTTTTAAATACTTTATAGTTATAACCAGAAAGAATGAAAGCCCAATTTCTTGTATTAATGAAAAACACTTTTCACTACATACTATTCTTTCTACCTTATAACTGCATATAGAGTAATGAAATTAGCAAAAATAATATTTCACATGGTGTATAACATATTAAAAAGGGATTTTATAAATATACATTTGGTTTACACCTAAATAACAAGTTGAAGTAAATGCAGTTAAATGATTATCAAAAATATAAACTAACTTGAACAACCACAAAATTATTTTACCTAACATAATTATGTAAATATGTATATTAAGGAAATATTTATTTATTTTTAAAGTTTATTGTTTAAAAGAAATATTTGTAATGATTTCCTTAAATAAGTCTAATTATCTATCTATACTAAAAGTTTGCTTTATTTGTACTATTTATTACATTTCTATCACAATGCTTGTACTCAAATAGAGAATCTACATCTATTTTATAAACAAGATAACATTTAATATAAACTACCTACTTTCAACATTTCTATTACTTTTCTATCCTATAATTTTCTATTTATTTTGAGCAATACTATGTCTGGGCTTCTGTAGTTCATATGCTGTTCATCTTCTGGTATTTTTTGTACATGAAAATTATCTGTAAGCTTCTCATAAAACTCATTCCAAAGTCTTTTTTGAACTTCTGTATCACGCATTTCTTGTGTTAGATATATTGTTGGTTTCTTCAATATTGTATAGTTCAAATTTTGTAATGTTTGAATCAAAGGTTCTACAGCCTGAAAAGGTTAGTGTCATATGAAATAAGCTAAAAGGTTATAAGTTGAAATTTTAAAAACAGCCACAGTAAAAGATAAAAAAAAACATTATTGTACATGATTCAACAAAATATGCTATGTAATGATAAATACATGCAATGAACACCAATAAATTTAACTATGCAAAAACAAAATTTAAAAATAGACAATACTTACACACAATACATCCATATAAATTAGATAAAGTTAAAATTAACATTTTAACAAACATCAGAAATAATAGTTAAAAATTTCACCTTCAGTAGTAAATACATAACAAAACTCATAACTCATAAATAAAAATGTTATATGAGACAACAAAATGTACAAGTACACCAAAAATATATTTTTGTCAACCCCACACATATTTTGTTCTTTTATAACCCAATCAAATATACTTATGTCATTAAAACCAAAACATATAAATGAAGCCTGAATAACTTACTTTTCTACAAATGATTTATAATAAATTAACATTATAAGATTGTATAAGATGACATAGATTATCACCAGTCTTTGTGTATGTAAATAGAATATAACTGCTTTCAGGCACCATAAAGACTAAATAATAATAAACCATGCATTTAAAGCTCATGATAACAAAACAAAACTTAGACAAAGCATCATGCAAAAGTAAACCTGTTAACATGTAAAAATTTAAAATATTGACATAAATTACATCTTCATAGTAAACACAATCAGCTAAAACAACCATATCAAACTCTTGTTTATGTATATCAGAATTATTGTCACCCCATTCTAAGACCTCAGCAATTGCATAGCCACCCATGCTACCAATCTTTTGCTTATTTTCACTGATATTTAATCGAAGTAATGGTAAAGCTTCAGGTAAATCTGTCAAAGTTACTTGAGCACTGGAAAAAATATTAATACATAAAAAAATATACAAACAAAAAACTAAGTATAATTTATTTTAGAAGTATACAAACCCTAAAGTAGCTGCTGTAAGGCCAACTACACCTAACCCAGATCCCAATTCTAATACCCTTGTTCCACTTAAGAAATCGGGCTTTTCTTGACATATTGTTTCAAGATATTTCGCTAGCACTAGAGATGCATCCCAGACTACACAATTTACATCCCCTTCAAGTTTTTGATATATTTTTAAAGTTTTTAAACATATTTCGATATCAATCTCACGCGAAAACAAGTCATTTGATGATAAACTGCCCCTGCGATGAGACATTTGAAACTTGAATCGCTTAATTTTGGCGACAAAAAGTAACTATATTGTGACAAAAAACGTGGCACTAACGTACCGAAGAAACTTTTAATTATAATTTACTGCACTGGGACTTGTTTTTAAATCTATTTCTATATTTTGTTTTGAAACATTGAATGTTTATGTCACTGTCAAGCAGCTGAAGTCAATGACAATGACAAGTATAAGGTGATTCATTTGACAATACACAATAGGGATGTGGGATGTCCGTGTACAATCGGTTACGAATCGTTTCGATTTTAGATTGTTTTTCATAGAGCTTCTCTATAATACGAATATTCCCTTAGCCTTACTTTTAAAGATTTAAATCAAAGGCAAAAACCACTATACTAACATAAAATAAAAATTAAGTCATAAAGTATAGTTTTAAATTAATAGTGAATAAATGGTCCTCTGGTTTTTACATTTTTTAATTGAAAAAATTTCCCAGAGCCGTCTGTTGTATTTGGGGACCTGTACCAGTATGTATAAATATATAGACCCTATAGGTAGGGGTGTGCAGGTGTATCGATCCGGCAATGACTAGAATCGAGGTCCGTATCAACGATCTTGGCTAAAGCAGGGTGTTACTAAGCTGTGAGATGATTGTAGTAATAACAAAAGAATATTCTTTAAACTTTATTGATAACTATAGATAAAGAATAAAACTCGTTTTTAAGAGTAGGTGAACGTACCGTAAAATAATATTAGAAAATATTAAAAGATATTCGCTGCTGTACTTGGAATTTCATGTTAACTTTTTAATTAGTTGTATGATTTCTCTAATCTTGCTACATTAAAACCTTTAAATCCAGTAAGCAGACACGCTACGATACCTACGGCATTGATTTATTTATATTTTAAAACGTCTTTCAAACAAAAACATTTAATTTATTTTTTATTTTTAAAGCAACGAAACAATAGTCTATTATCAACAGTTAAAATGAGAAACAAAGTAACAAACTTAAAAAATAGAGATTTTTTAATCAGCTACAGTATTACTTCTAAATCCGGCTAACATCGTTCTCGTCAATGGCTCAATTAATAAAGTAATTAATACTAGACCAGAACAATTTTAACACACTGAATAAAGAGTGCTGCTGATGAATCTGTATGTATGTGGTATCAACAAGAGAGAAATTGATAAAAATCTATCGGTCATATCCATAATATGAATTCCTATAATTAAAAAAAAAAACTAAATGAGCAAATATTAAAGTTGCTATAGTTATCATTGTAACTAATTTAATTAGACTTATTTTAACTTATACAATAACCATGTAATAAATTGAATCTATAAATGCAATGTAAAAGGAACTGACTAGATACACAAGTATTATGGATTATTTTAATCCATGTGACTTATAATTTAAAACAAATAAAAGACGTAAAACATTTCTTCCATACAATCTAATCTAAAATTATACATAAAAATTTTAAAATAACGAAGTCGTAGTAATAGTAATAATAAAAACACCATCTAATAACAGAGTATTGGATATTATTTTTTTAGATTTTTGGTAAAATCTTACAATCTCAATTGTTTCCATTTGGACGTTTTTTTCTGATGTCCCGATCCAAACATAATTCATAAGTCATTTGGTGTTTATTTTTGCATCAATAATAATAAAAAAAAAGTTTTAGCTTTGTAAATATTTTTTAGTAGTAAATACTAGATTTTTTCAAAGTAAAACTCATTTCACTGATACTATTTCATACAAGCTAATAATGGACGATATAATTTTCATATTAAGGACGCTATAAATATTTTCTATAGATTGCGCTGAGCTAGTATTCAAGTGTTCGAAGGCGAGTTGGTGTTAAAAGTTGAACACGATCAGTACCTCGTCACGGTTAACCACTCTCCCCCGTTCCACATCAAGCAGATTTCTGCAGATACCTTGATTATTTGAGTATTTTTTTTATACTACATTTATTCCCTAAAAGAAAGCAGAAAATGATCTTAACCTAAGGTATAAGGCATAATTAATTAAATTCTACCACAAGAAGAAAGGCAAAATGTGACAACCCCGACTAATTCTAATTAAACGATTTCTGGTTGGAAGACGACAATTTCATTGACAACAGTGTCCATTGCCTGCCAGCAACTTTGTGAGCACGTGAAAATAAGTACGGAGAGGAAATGTAGATGCGACAACAATATATCATTGGGTGAGATTTTCAGTGCATCGGCGAATTCTGGTACTAATTGTAGTTCACAGATAAGTCTGGATCCACAGCGGTTGCAAACATTGGGCACGCTCGGTGACTCGGGTATCGCGGAGTTAGTCAAAGGTGCGCCGAGTATGGGAGCCTCGTCTCGGGTATATCTGAAAATAATCTTATTTAAACCATCTTAAATAACGTGATTGCCTAATAAAGAGAAGAGTTCTCTTCTACCCATAGTCCCAACTTAAAGTTCACACAGCACCTTAGTATTTGTCCTGGGTTATTCTTCAATCGTGTGACAAACGCGTGGAAGAGCTTGTCACCATGCAGGGGGGCAGCCTCTTCATACACCTCCTCGTCTCCGCCTCCAGCCCCCGCACACGCCCCCCTCTCCGCAAACCCACCTAAATCTATTTCTACAAAAGATACAATACTGTTCATATATCAAATTTTTATTCTGTAATATTAAGTCAATGGGCTTAGACATGACAGAAGAAGATAGAAGCATTACAGTACCTCTATGTTCAATAATTTAAGAACTTACCATTTTCATTTTTATATTTATCAAGAAGTTCAGTGACACGATCATCGTTAAGGCAAGAGTTCTTGTATTCCTCTTCTACGTAAATATACTTTGGAATGAATTGCATTGGTGCTCGCAACAGCTTATTTCTTAATTCTATAGGTAGCTCCGCGGTCTGAAAAGGTTTTTTTTAACAAATATTTTTAAAACTAGCTGTCACCCGTGACTCCGTTGGCAGGGATTAAAAAAAAAAGTAGACCGTGAGCTCTTGTAGATTATGTTTCTGTTGATTATGCCAAATTTATTCAAGATCTGTTCACCATTCCCAAGATACCTTGTAACAAACTGGTATCTTACTATAATACTTAATATGACAGCTAGTTTATAATATTAGTAAGATTTAAAAACACAAAAAACTTTAGAGATAAACATACCTGATGCAGTAATGCTTCTATATCACTCATGGTGGCAGTGGGAGTCTCCACAATAACTAGGCCTGGCTCATCTCCTCCTTCTAACTCTGCTGCCGCTTCTGGACCGCAGTTTGAGCCCACAGCCCCTGTAACATTTTTTTTTTACAAAAATATAGTAAAAGGAAAAGAAATTATCTTCTTCACCACACTAATTGTAACACTAAGTTGGGACATACATCATATTCTTTTATATTATAAGATGGCAAATGAGCAAGTGGCCACCTAAATTCGCTGAAATAGCAAAGCGACCGCTGCCCATATACAGTCAGCGTCATATAGATCGTAACAGACAAGATATGCAAATACATAGGTACACCAAAAGTAATCAATTATATCGGTAAAACAAAAGTCCTCAAATTAATACATACATTCACCCTGCTCAAATACATCGGTACATACACAGCGTCAAATATATGAGTGGTACAGCAAGGTGCCCATAAATATCGTAGCAGCCACAGCGTCATAAGTAACGAAGCAGTCAAGGTGCGCAAAAATATCGTAACATTTGACAAAATTGAACTCTATCTCTAAATACTTGTGATACAATTTGGAATAAACTACTTCTGTTACATTCATTTGACACTTTGTATTAACATTATAGGTTGTCCGGAAAGTTCGTTCCAAATTTTCGATAGGAAGCTTAGAATAGACTGTAGCTGAAGTGGAATCACTTTCGGATTTCCACCATTATCAATAGTCACAAAAATGTGTATATTGTGAATAATTTCATTTCATTGGTTGAGAGAACTAATTTTTAAACTTTTACAAATAGTGTGTAGATGGATAATAGCATTCGGCGATGTTAATCGCGGTCAACGTTATGTGTATATCTAACTTCAATAGCATAGGTACAGTCACCTCCAATAAAGTACTTTCGCACGAACAGCGGCGGCTGTATATAAAGCGACGAATGGAAATCACTAGGTCAGTTGATACGAGACCTTGGAGTCGGCAACTCGTGTCGGTACGTGAACGAGTCAAATATAGTGCACAGTGAAGAAGAAGAAGAAGAAGAAGAAGAAGAAGAAGAAGAAGAAGAAGAAGAAGAAGAAGAAGAAGAAGAAGAAG